CCAATTTTCTCTAGATTTGTTTCGGCCAGGGACAACTAGAGGCGATCTTGCTGCTCCTGATCAACCTTGCTCATTCCTCTGGAGACGTCTTCCAAGATTGAACCTTTCTACAAAGGGAGTCATCATCCTGAGTTGAAAAATGCTCATTTGGAAAAAAGACTCATAGAATTGATATATAAATAAAAAAATGCATTAAGGACATTTCTGTTTTCTTTGATCCTGAGCAAGCAGAGTTGTATGTTCTGACTTTACGAGACAAATGGGACAAAAAACTTGTGTTTGTTTTGCAGCTATGAAACAGGCAGAGGTTGAAGTGTAGAAAAGTGAAAATTATGCATTCGATCAGGCAATAGATAATTTATTAACTTTTTAAAAAAGCAATATGAACTTTCCACTAAATTCCACTAAAAACTATTCTGCTATTTTCATTATACTTCCTTATTTACTTAAATTAAAATTCAGAATCAAAGAAAGACGGATAGTTTAAAAGTCTTCAAAGAGCCTTCACTTTATTACAAGTATTCGTAGAAATAGAAGATTGTAGTCCTACAAGTCCTATAATACCCAGCCAGCATAATCAAAAGGATATGGTCATTATAAACTTTTACGGGACAAAACCTAGCTGTAAACATCTGTAAACAGGAAGAAACTAAGAGCCAAATGTCTCACAAGAGTTCCAGCATAAAGCAAAGCTAGGAGCAGTCCCCATATCCTAATCCGATCCTTGCAATTCACTAAAGTGATTTTTTTTTTCTAAACATGGACTTTCTACATGAAGGAAAGAAGAGTGCTTCTTTGGTCTCCTGTCTGTGGGCTTCTTAGATACATTTGGTAGGCCACTGTGTAACGACTGCTGACCAGATGTGCCTAGCATTCTGTTCCCATATTCTACCAACCCAAAGAAACTGCTTTTTGCCTGAAGTGTTCACTTCTAGAATGCAACGAAAGTTTCAGTGATTTCCTGGAGCCCCAATAGAAAGGAGAAACCATAGAAAAATAAATCTTTTTCTTTTTGCAATACCCTATATGCATGCTTCTACATGGACTGAGGAACAGAATATGAGTGCTTCATTAATCTACTGCTAAAATATCTCCTCTTGAAACTCATCAAATGTAAATATATGTTTTATGTTACCCTTTTGAAGCTTCACTATTTCTGCATAAATATAATATCAAATGAGATTTTTTTCCCACACAAGTTCCAAATCCAGATAAAGAAAACCAAATTCAACCAAATCAAGTCAAAAAATTGTACTTGTTCATTTATTCTTTGAGGGAAATGATCCAAAGCTAAAATACTTTTAATTTAATAGAAGGGAAAAAAAACTTGTCCAGGATCCAAACAAGTTTTACTTTGATGATTAATGCAAGCAATTATGTAACAGCCACCTCCTGATTTTACAGGAAATAAGCTACAATTCTTAAACTCCCCAAATATCCAACATAATTTAGCCTCTCTAGCACAAATCTGAGGATAACTGATCAAAGAATACTTCAAAATCTTAAATCTATTGAAGAGAGAAGGAACAAATACCGTTTACTACCTTTTCATGAACTTCCATAAATAATTAGGTGGAAATGAAATTCTAGACTAGGGGAATTTGAGTCTTATCCAAGTCTAAATATGAATCAAATTCCTGTTTTTGGTCTTAATCTTTAGTGCCATCTATTGCTACAGTGTAGAAACTTCATCAACCAGAAAAGTCATTGGTTAAAATGCATTGCTTACCTAACTCATGGCTGCTATGGTAGTTTGTTAAAATGTACCTGTTCTTCAGCTTATTAAAACAAACTCCAAAAGCCAAGAAATACATTGAATGGCTCAAAAAAGGCTGCATAATTTTTTGCCCCCAGGATTTACTGTCTAGTTAAAGGCCAGACAGTTTTATTGGAACTGTATTTATAATAGACTAATTTACAGTCTAGACCAGGGGTGTCAAATTCGTGTTGTCACGGCAGTGTCACGTGACATATTGGGACTTTCCCCCCCTTTGCTAAACCGCGTGGGGCGGGGCCAACATGTAACACATCTGGCCAGTGGGCTGCAAGTTTGACACCCCTGGTCTAGACCATGGATGGTGAAGACTTAAGACTCCAATTCACAGGAATCTTTTTCCTGTAGAAGTGCTAGTTTTCTTTGAAAAAGTAGTGCTTCGTGTAACTGCATTCTACCTCAATTTTGCAAATTCCTTAAGGACTTAGCAGTTGCTTTTCCTGGGAAAGAGATTATTATTTTAATTTTTTTATTCTTTAAAAAAGATCATTGTGGATAGAGGTGTCAGAAGGTATTCAGGTCCAATCACCCAACAAAATATACTGTTACCAAGGTAGCAGATTATACATATGACACTAGAACTAGACAATAAAATTCCAAAAACCAGATTACTGTTGTTTTTAATGCCGAGTACGTTGTCAAACTTCATTGGCTGTCGCTAATTTTTATGACAAAGATAGCGATTCATAGTACTTTTAGGAGGAAATATCAAGTGTGTTGCATAAGATGATGGATTGGATTATGCCTTTCATTGGGGGCCTCTTCACTATAGGGGCCTCCCCCGCCCAACTAAAGTAACTTGAGCTGCTGCAGGACTTCAGTTGTTCACTGGTATCACCTTCATTCTTCTACTCCACCAGGATGTTAAAAGCCAGGCCAAAGGAAGATGGCTTTCTCTTTCTGCTGATATAAAGAACACCTTTAAGTCTAGTGCTGGCTTCCCGGGAGGTTACACGAGGCTGGCTCCAGGGGATTATTAACGCTTCTTTGAGTGAGGGTGTCCTGCCGGCCACTTTGAAAGAGGCGGTTGTGAGGCCCCTCCTCAAGAAGCCCTGCCTGGATCCTGCTGTTTTGGCTAACTATCGTCCAGTCTCCAACCTTCGTTTTATTGCGAAGGTTGTTGAGAGTGTGGTGGCGCGACAGCTTCCCCAGTACCTGGATGAAGCTGTCTATTTGGATCCGCTCCAGTCCGGTTTCAGGCCTGGGTACAGCACGGAAACGGCATTGGTCGCGTTGGTGGATGATCTCTGGAGGGCTCGGGGTAGGGGTTATTCCTCTATCCTGGTCCTGTTAGATCTCTCAGCGGCTTTTGATACCATCGACCATGGTATCATGTTGCGCCGGCTGGAGGGACTGGGAGTGGGGGGCACCGTTTTGCGGTGGTTCTCCTATCTCTCCAACCGGTCGCAATCTGTGTTGACGGGGGCAGCGGTCGACCCTGAGGCACCTTGTTTGTGGGGTGCCACAAGGGTCGATCCTCTCGCCCCTCCTGTTCAACATGTATGTGAAGCTGCTGGGTGAGATCATCCGTGGTTTTGGGGTGGAGTTCCATCAGTACGCTGATGATACTCAGCTGTACATCTCCACCCCAGACAATCCCAACGATGCCTTGGAAGTGATGTCCCAGTGTTTGGAAGCCGTGCGGGTCTGGATGGGGAGAAACAGGCTCCGACTCAACCCTTCCAAGACCGAGTGGCTGTGGATGCCGGCGTCCCGGTATAGCCAGCTGGCGCCATCGCTGGTTATTGGGGGCGAATCATTGGCCCCCACGGAAAGGGCTCGCAACTTGGGTGTCCTCCTGGACGCACGGCTGTCTTTAGAAGGGCATACGACGGCCGTGGCCAGGGGGGCCTTCTATCAGGTCTGCCTGATACGCCAGTTGCGCCCCTTTCTGGATCGGGACTCCCTACGCACAGTCACTCAGGCACTCTTCACCTCTCGTCTGGACTATTGTAAGGCTCTCTACATGGGGCTCCCCTTGGGGTGCACCCGGAGGCTCCAACTGGTGCAGAATGCGGCCGCGCAGGGGATTATGGGAGCGACAGGGCGCTCCCATGTGACTCCTCTCCTGCGCGAGCTACATTGGCTCCTGGTGGACTTCCGGGTGCGCTTCAAGGTGTTGGTGATCACCTTTAAAGCGCTCCATGGCTTAGGGCCGGGGTATCTACGGGACCACCTCCTGCCACCAATTGCCTCCCACCGGCCAGTTCGCTCCCACAGAGAGGGCCTCCTCAGGGTGCCGTCGGCCAGGCAATGTCGGCTGGTGACCCCCAGGGGGAGAGCCTTCTCTGTGGTAGCACCCACCCTCTGGAACAATCTACCCCCAGAGATACGAGTGATCCCAGACCTCCGGACTTTTCGTTGGGCTCTCAAAACCTATTTTTTTCAGTTAGCTGGGCTGTCCTGATTTTATGATTGGTTTTAAATAATTTTGATATGGTTTTAATTGGAATGTTTTAAATTAATGGGCCAAATTTATTTAATTATTTTAAATTTATTTTAACTTTTGTATATAAAATGTTTTATTTTTTGGCTGTTCACCGCCCTGAGTCCGAAAGGAGAAGGGCGGTATAGAAATTTGAATAAAGATAAAGATAAAGATAGTGTTTGGTAATCAGTCTGGGCAGCCCTAAATTTCGGAAACGTTACCCGAAATTACATCTCCCAAAGAGAGAAATTAGGTCCCAAAACATCTACTGCGCCTTTACAGAAGAACGAAGGGTTTATTAGTTCAAGTAAAACAAGGATTCAAAACAGAAAATGATAGCAGAGAAACGTTGGACTGGGCCACAAGATGTTGATGAGTCCTCTGAGAAAATTAGCTTTGAAGGAAGCCTTGAGCACCTGCAAAAATAAAATATTGTGTTTATTTCATCCTAGATTCCAATTTGAATACCTGATGCTTATGTTGATTCAATACAGGGAGCCCATAGCTATGCATAATTGGGGACATACTTGCACTGGAGGATGTATGACTTAATTCCTCCAGTAGGAGACCTCTACAGACTTTAGTGCATTCCACAATTGCTAGGAATCCTTCCAAAATATTGTCAATCTGGTCTTAGCATATTGTTTTTCACTCCTCTCAGACATGTCTTTTAAAAGAAGCATGTACATGTGTAATTTGGATTAATGTGTATGCACTTAATGGAATATACATGTATTTATGGAGAGCACAGATTATTTTGAGGAGCATCAACTTTGTTTAAATCATTAAGTCTCAATGAACAATTCATTCCAGTACTTTGACCAGAATATTTACATGTTTTATTAAATCTTTACAATCAGCAATTATAATCAAGTAGACAATTTTATATACAAAGATTATGTACACTTTGAACTCAGACTTTTACATCACAGTACACGTTTGCCCTTAGGGATATTGTATACGCTTAAAATCGCCAGACTGAAAAATCCAACAGTAGTGTTAACAAGCACCCCTTTAGACTTTTTCATAAATTACATCATAAGAAAATATATGGCTGTAAATTGGGCTGGTAAAAAGTCTTACAAAAATGTGGATGTATGGTATGCATTCATAGAATGTTCTCTCTTTATTCTACTGACTGTTGGGTATAATATCATCCCTCGGATCTCTTTTGTACCTGCACTAAGTAACCACACGGGAAAAAAGATGGAGACAAAACAAGCAGGTTAAGGAAGAGCCCAATGAGAGATGAACTAGTATTATGCCAACTTCTGCATGACTTCCCTTTAGGTTAGATGCATGCAAGTGGCTGACTTTCGTGCTTCTCATAAAACGTGCCAGAATGGTAGTCTAAAAAGGCTGATATGAAGATCTTAAATTAGGTAACTTCTCTCCAAAAAGCCGTTAATGTAGTTAATATGTAAACCTTTTTAATGTTGAGCAGGCTTATGGCTGTGATGAAGAACTAGATATATAAAAAGGACAAGCTATATCTGAGGTAGACTACCACCTTTCAGATGCTCCTTTCTAATGGCAAGCAAGTATTTCAATAATCCCTGAATCAATGAGAAAAACTCAAAGCATTTGCAGATATTTAATGGCAGGTGTAACCTAACATTCATGGTATGTATAGGAAACAGCAGGTGTGGAAACTCTTAATAAAGAGCTGCATTAATTAATAGTTAATGCAAGAGGTGGTGAAAGTTTAGTGGTTGTTGTGCAGAAAGATATGAATCTGTCCAAAATGCTTTGTGAAGACACTACTAGTAAATGATCTTATCAGAAATAAAATGAGCAAGTCCTGCTACAGGATTAAAGAAAACAGCAGCTCGGTAAATTATTCTAAATCAGAAGAAATATTTTAAAAGCCTTTTACTAAAGGTGTTCCTATTCTGGATATGCAATACATTCCAGGTGTTTTTTATGTATTTTGTCAGCTCAAAACTCGTTCTCTACCATAGGGCCCTAAACTATCAAAGGGCACTTTAAAGAATCCGGTACTGATTCTCCTAGAGATTCCTAGTGCGTAAAAACCAAGCTTCATATCTAAACACAATTTGGGGTTCATTATATGCAAATAAAAACTTTTAAAAAGTTAAAGGACACTTGTTTTATTAATTCACTAAAACTCACAACCATTTGCATCCAATTCCTGTAAAAGTCTCACCTAGGTATCAAATTCCTAAAAACATTCTGATCTGTACATTTAAAAGGCTGCTTTACACACTGTAAATTTTTTGTAGGAGGACCTTTCAGCAGTTTGCCCTACCTACCTACTGTACATACATAACCGCAATGTGGTTTTAATCATTTACTGTGTATCAATCTTTTGTGACCAAGAAACAACTCAGACACACGAGAGCAAAAGAATAATTCATTCCATCTTCAGTTCCCAGCTCAATTAGAATATAAAGCAGAACTGTCTTAACTCTCATACCATTGCAGTTGACCTTTTCCTGATACAGAAACCCACTCTTATCACTCAGTTCTATGGGGAAATAAAATGCTGCATTAGAGGGAAGCCATTGGTTCCCTCCAGAAATCTGCTATCCAATGCAATATTGGATAGTCAGGTTTCAGTACTAAGGAGCCTGCAGGGAGATGCAATGTAAGCGTACTTGCAGTATGACAAGCCTTCCCATACAACATATTGCATTTGAACATACGATCTTTGTCAATTTTTGCAACAAGTCAGCTATACATGAAAAGGCCAAGTATAGGGCGCAGTGCAATATGGCTGTGTCAAATTATTTGACTTTTTGCTTCCTCAAAGTAAAAAAAATGGGGGGGGGAAATGAAATTATGTTAGGCAGTCTTATTTGCTTTGTTTGCTACACTGTTTTTTTTTTTTTTTAAGGAAACTAAATTTAAACATAAGACATCTGTGAAACATGATTCTGTGAAATATTTCTGCTACAATTGAAAAAAAAAAAAAACTATACTAACGACATGCAAAATGTCCTGAATTCAAAACATGCTGAGTTCAAACTGCTCTGTTCCAAGTTTGAACAGGACTTTTCCAGAAGTGCTCGGAGTGCAAAGCATAAAATACCTGCTATGAACCTAGATGAGGAAGGCATTCCAATAAGCACAGATCCACCCAATTTGAAGTCAAAAGGTTTCAAATTCAACATGTTTTGCATACCCCACACATGATACTAGTTTTTGCTTGGCTTTCTATTATGCTAAGGATGCATTATTTCTTGTTGAGATACTGACCACTTTTTATAGAAGGAAAACACACAAATTTTAAGATACGCACAGAATAGGATGATTTTGATGTAAGGCCCACTTAATTATAAAAAAATGCAGAACAAAATAAATTAAATCCTAATGCAAGATATTTCGTACCTTTTCCAGAGACTGGGAAGGATACTAAATTTGGCTCATTTTGAACTTGCCATTTCATGCACAACATTCAAAACCAAAGTGATGGGAGTGTAGAGCGCTTTTGTCCTATTATGCATAAACAACTTTAAGAATTATCCAGTTTTTCTTCTTCATTTTTTGTTAACAGAACACATTGTCTTTGGTTTATAAACTATCTTGTCTTGAATTAAGAAAAAGAATAACATCCAAGTGAATTGGTCATTCTTCAAAGTGATAAAATGGAAGAAGTGATAAGGAGGTACAGCACGCTTACTACATTAAGTGGCACAAAACAATCACAGCTGCCCACTGCTTCGCCTTCATCATAAAGGCACAACAAACTATTTTCCACCAAGTCTCCAAAAAGACTTTGAGATACAATATTGACTCTCAAAAACAGCATTGTCACACCTGCCATTCATGGCCTTTATAGGCCAAGATGTAAAGCTACAGCTGGCCATTCAGTCTCACTGGTGCATTAATCCCACTGCAGTCATTTCTTTGCCTCCCGAAGACTATGCTAAGCTAACCCACAACAATCTGAAACACAGGAAGGATTCATATCATTCCCTGAATGAACCTTCTGTATTACAGCACCATGCAAAGGAACTCTGCAAATGGGTCGATTGCACATTCCCATTTTTAAAAACAAGGTAAACAAAACAAAAAAAAACCCAGTTCAAATTATAACACATGCTGGCTTTTGCCAATAAAAACCTGGCTGCTTGTCACAATACTGAACAATTCTTTTTGAATTTCAGATATCAGGGCCATTATCTCCTTGGTGAAGTTCACAAGCAAAGTATTTAAAGTTATAGTTCATCTTTTTCCATCATTTCAAATGCTTCTATGTCTTCATTCCAATCAGCTAATATTGATTCCATAGATTGGTCTTTATTACTCCAGTTATTACTGGGACTGGAATCTGTCTCAATCGTTGACTGTTCCTCAGGATGATTATCCTGTTCTGATGCTTGACTGCTACTGCTAGTTTCCTGGAATTCAGGAGTACAAGAATCTTGGTTTGTTTGAGAAACACTGTTGCTGTCTGATTCTGCAAATGAGCTCATATCAGCTTCTCCTTCAGATTCTTGAGAGACCAAGTTCAAATCTGCTGAAATGTCTTCCATTTTCTGATTATGGGAATCATTATCAGATGACATCTGATCCACGGTTTCCATTTCCAAATCTTAGAAGTAAAGGGGAAAAAACAATTATTTAACACATTTCTAGTTTACTTCCAGCTAGAAGTACCATATTACCATAAGCAATATCAATTGACTTTTTCTTAACTATGATTAATAGTGTCAAAGTTAAACTCCCAAATGTACACCTTTTAGGTTCTTCAGATTTACATCTGTTAGATAAGTATTATAAAGAAATCAGTATAAATTACTTACTTGATTGCTAAAGCAAGGATAATGTTCTCCTCAAGAAACTGAGTAACCTAAATTTCCATGGGACCAAATTTTTCCCCTTAACCCAAGCAACTGCTTCTATCATATAAACATAAAAATAAACAGCCTAGCAGAATTCATCCAAAACCATGTTTACCTATTTTGAATCTAAATTTTCAAAGCATTCTAATATTAGGATGTACTTAGAATCCTAATCTCCAGCATTATTTGAAAAGAAATCTTTGATCACTACACTAGATTCCTGAAGCTAGAATTAAGAAACTAGTCATTGCCTCTCATAATTTATGTGCATCTAAAATATTCATCAAATTTTTGAGCTGTGGTGATTTTGGACAAAGCAGTGATGATACTGAAGAAAATACCTCAACTTTCTTAATGAGCGCACCCAACATAGGCATATTTCTATAACTAGATTTTGTACATTTCTTGTTGGATCAACATGTCAGCAGCATCCCAAAAACTTTTAAACATAAACTATCCATAAATTAAGGACTAGGTCTTGCTGACTAATTTACATTTTACTTAGTTGTAGTATCAGGAAACATCTCAAAATATCTTTTTATCTCTCTCTCTTGGTAAAGTATGTACAGATATTTTTAATACTTACTGCTATCAATAATGTAGTTTGGAATCGTTTTATCTTTAAATATAGTTGCTGACATTCCAAAGGTAGCACAAGGAGAAGGGAAAAAGTACATGTGCATAAATCCACAAACCCACCAATTTTCAATTAAGTTCATTTATTTACTTAGCATCTGCTTTAGAAAAAAAACCTCTCTAAATAAGATCTCAACAGGATTCAAACAACTATTTATATGTGTGTATTTATTTGTTAGATTTATAAAGCCATCCAACTCAAATAGTGTGACTCTGGGCAGCAAAAAGCATGAAAACAAACAACACCCCCTCCCACTATATAACATGAAAAAAAAACTTTATATAAATATAAAATACAAAATATAGAAATGGCAATGAACCATAACGGAATAACCAAAAGAGGACTCCATTCAACTGGCCTCTAATGGCAGGGGAGGTAAGGGAGCCAGCTCTTAACAACTTTCTTAAAAATGAGAGTTGGGCCTGTTGTGTATGGGTGAACACAATGTTCCAAAGAGGAGCAACCACAGAAAAGACATGATTCAGACATCCCATAAGAAAGAAAGGACTTGGGGCGTATCCTCCCTATGGGAGCATGTGGGGTGGGGAGACGTTCTTTGGATATGGTAGTCCCTCAAATAACCCAAGTCTATGCCATACTGGGTTTTTAAACTGACAACCATCACTTTGAATCGCATCTAGAAGATTATGAAAGCCAGTCCAGTTCACACAGTAGCAGTGTTACATAGCATAATGAAATGCGCTCATAACTACCCACATGCTGCATTCTGGACTAATTGAAGCTTCTGGATGGTCTCCATACACTGTAACTGAAGCTCCTGCAGTAGTCTACTTGGAAGGTGACTAAGGAGTGATTGATTGTGAGCAGGGCATCTCAGTCCAGGAATAGGTGCAACTAGCACACAAATTGCAGTTGTGCAAAGGCCTCACTTGCCAGAGCTGCCACCTGTTGAGCAGGAGCTATGAATTCAGGAGAATCCCCAGATTGTGCACTTAGTCTGAATAGGGTAGTGCCACCCTATTCAAAATTATGCAAACCCTTCAATTTCCAAATGAGTGGGTCCCCAAACCATAACTATTTAATTTTGGCAGAATTGAAGACAACTTATTCTTTTGTATCCAGGCCCTCACAAACTCCATACATGGGAAAGAACCTCAACAGCTTCACTGGACAGCCAGAGTCAGAGATGTATCACTGGATATCATTGCATATTGATGACACTCCAAATCACAAATGACCTTTCCCAGTGGCCTCATGTAGACATATACAAGGAGGGTGGAGAGTATAGAGTACTGAGGCACCCCACAAGTAGCAGACCAGGGCTCAACCACTCCCCACCACCAACACTGACTAGAACTGGCCGTGGAGCAAGAAAAACCACTCAAAAACAGTGCCACACACTTCTTATACTCTAATCCTGAAATGGAGGCGACAAGGCTTTAATCTGATAGCAAACATATTCCCCATACAGCAGGAGAAAGTTAGGATCATACTTAACATTTACACACAGAAAGAGAATTCAAAGTAACTGAATTTAGTTTGTCAGAATTTATTTTATCCTTAACAATTAACTCTAATACTTCCTACTACCTTAGCTTAAATAGGAGTTAGGGTGAAGTTTCTCCCGAGTCTCTTTTAAAGTAGTGTTTTATTTTACTTCTGTTTAAAAGCCTCAAAACTCATAGCCCCAATTGTCAGAAATTTTAATTGCTCTTGTGATTTTGTGATAACAACTCTTCTATGTGATCAATTCTCAGAACTAAAAGGAGCCGAGGTGGCGCAGTGGTTAGAGTGCTGTACTGCAGCTACTTCAGCTGACTGCTAGTTCAGCAGATCAAATCTCACCGGCTCAAGATTGACTCAGCCTTCCATCCTTCCAAGGTGGGTAAAATGAGGACCCAGATTGTTGGGGACAATATGCTATTTAGTATACTGTCAATTGTTGTAAGCCACCCAGAGTCCTCGGAGAGTGGGCAGCATAGAATTATGATTAATAAAAAAATAAAGAAATAAATAACCTTAAAGGTTGCAAAATTTCTATTGAGAGTCATGGTTTTTGGAAACTACCTGGTGCTTTTTTCACATTACTATTTTTTTCCTATGCATTTCCCCCCTTATATTTACTATATTTACTATACTTTGCTTTTATGACTTCTCTTGGATTATAAATAAATACAAAATATTATTTTCTAGTTCCTCTGGAAGGGTACCAGATTTTAATATAATCAATATTCTTACATTATGAAAATATACTTTAATATAATTATTGGCATATATTTAAAATATGTATTTTCTTATTTAAATATATTTCAGTAATTATATTAAAGTATATTTTCATAATGTAAGAATATTGATTATATTAAAATACCCAAATTAGTTCAGTAACAAGAAATATTTTTTTTTGAAGTACTGTATCAATAGGTACCATTCCAAGCTGCAAGCAATAGTATATTAGTTTGCAATATAGTTGCTATCTTAAAATAATTTCTGATTAGTTAAGGAGATACATCCTAGCTCTTTCTCTATACTAAACTTTTCTTTAAATTTGGGCAAACAAAAGTATACTTTGAACTGTTTTCTCACTTCAACAGAAAAGAAAAGTTTCCACAGATAAGAACTAGCATCAGAGATGCTAGTGGTGTATGTATAGAAGCTGCACACATATATTTACATTGTTTTTCATTTCAGATGGTACCAATGGGATAATAGGGGCAAAGGAATACATCAATACTCTTTTAAGTGCCTTGGCCTGACAGTATAAAAATGAAGATTCAATCATCCAGGCCAAAAGTATCTAAAAAGGTTAAATCATGGCAACTGGACCAAAGTTTGTTAAACTGAGATGTTTCATTACTTATCCTAATTTTTTCAGACAAGAAAAGCTTTTTGATGGAAGAAGTAACTTGGATGAGTAATGAAATGTCTCAGTTTAATAAACTTGGGTCCAGTTGTTAATCTTTTTAGATACTTGATCTGACAGAAATTATAATTTGAAATAGCAGTCATTTCCAGGGAAAAGTATGAATGCCTAATAGAGACAACTCTTGGTTGTTTATACAAACAAAACATATGTATGATAAAATTTGGAATTTGAACTATAAATTTGCTATAATCTCCAAAACCCCATTTTCTATTATACGTATTTCAGAATTTTCTCTAACATTTTTCAAGAACCTAGAAGTACTCAGTAGACTTTGTAAGACCAAAGTCTTTCAATTAAAATTTTTGGGTTAAACATGCATTTATTTAATAATTAAAAATAATTCAACTCAAATGTCCTCCAGACTTAGAAAAAATACCCAATGAAATTATGCTGTTTCTGGATACTTGTACACTAATCTAAAAGTTTGGCATTGCAATACTTTGCATGAAATGTTCTTTAAAGAAATAACAAAATATTCAGGTTGAAAACGAAAAAAGGTCTTCACGAGGTTGCAGTTGGTTAATTCAGGCTTCAAAATCCACAGGGATTTTGATGAGAATTTGCTACAAGAAAGACTGTCCTAATTTTAGTCTGTTACATGATATCAGCAAAGGTACATTTGCAGCAACAAAGCTTGTTTGCATTACAAGTTATGATCATCTGATCTTTCTAGTATGCTTAAAAATGTAGATTGATTTTGCTGTGTAGGACCACGGCCCACTAAATAAATTCATCTTTAATATTTAGCATTGTTTTTAAAATGCTATTTTCAAGATTGTAGAATGAACATTCACTGATAAACTTTACCAAGTTCACATTCATATCAAGATGCATTTTTCTTCTCTAAACCTATATTATGTACATCTGTGGGCTTGAACTGGCAAGCAGAAAAGTTGCTGTGCTTCAAGTATTATCATGGAGGGCCATAAAAACAGAAATCAGTTCACTGTATTCTTACATAGACAGCTTAGGAGCTACTAATATTTAATATCCCTGAAGTTGCAAAGGTAAACCTACATCATTTCCTTAATTAACTACAATGGGTAAGGCACTGCACCTTACACATTTTTTTTCTAAAATGTTTTGTTTAAAAGATATATTTATTTTGTGATGCAGAGTAAGGATTCGCTTATAGAAATTCAGTCACAGTATTTAATAAATAATGTTATTTCAGAAAGCCTGGCATAGATTTCCATTTATTAGCTTCAAAAGCTTCACTTTCAATTGATTAAATTTTCCTTCTAATTCTCTCTCTGTATTCTCCACAACTGAAATTTAAGACTACAGGTAGTCCTCAATTAATGGTGGGGACTGGAATTGCCATCGCTAAGCGATGCAAACATAAATTGTGTCACGTGACTATACTGTTTAGCGATGGTAATTCCAGCAGTCCTGATTGCTGACATTAAGTGAGGACTGCATAGCCTGTTAAGCAAGGACCTCCTGTGACTCAACTTTGACTTCCTGCCAGTTTTTCCATTGACTTTGCTTGTGAGAAGCTAGCAGGGACCATTGAAAATCACATGACCACGGGGACACAGCAACAGCGGGAACTGAGAGGCCCAGTTGTAACTCCCACTCATTTAGTGTTATTGTAAATATGAACAGTCACTGATCATTAAATAAATAGTACTGTATGACTCATTGGGATTGCTTTTAATCTTAACAAAGATATACTTTTACCTCCTTTTCTTTATCAGAAAGCAGCAATTTTGTCCTTACCTCTGTCTTTTGCTTTATCTGAAAGCAGCACTTCTACACCTTCATACGACTGAATGGCATCAAGAATAATATTTCCTTCTTTGTTGAAAAGAAACAGCATGGGGATAGTGATATCGTCTGTATTCTTGCCATCACCCGCCATTTGAAAAAGGGGAGCTGTATCACTGCTACTTCCTTCATTATCATCTAGATAGAGCAAACATAATTTTTTCCAATAAAATTTCCAGTGGAAATTTCCATCATTTGTACCACATCCACATCGTTATTGAGCATTTTATATGTGCAAGTAATAGACCTGATGTATTTTTTCATGGCAGCAATAATCTTTGGGAAATTATTTTAAAAGAAATAGGGACACCACAACTTGTGTAATCTATGAAGTACAAATACTCATAAGGTTTTTAAAAACATTTTAGATCTATTTTTCAAGATGTTGTGGAAAGGTGCTGATTTTGTACAATGGGTAATATCAACTACTTAATACTGCAAGCTGTCGTAAAGAGAATCCAAATCCTGGATGCACAATTAAAAATTACACAGAGAACTTCTACTGATATACTTTGAACACACATATATGTTTGTGTTCACACATGCATGCATCTCTAAGCAACAAGACCTAAAATAATGTGTTTTAACTCAGTTTCTCTACAGCAGAGATGTCAAACTGGCGATCCGCAGGCCATGCCCACCCCAGCTCCATGAATGGGAAAAATGTCACAAAATGACATGTGATGGCAAATGTGACACAAGTTTGATATCCGTGCTCTACAGCTTCTGACCCACCACCCAAGTCATAATACATGCTTAGAAAGGGAGTACAATATGAAATATCCCACTCTAAAAAGGAAAGGCCAAGATTCACTAAGCTAGCACAAGACACCAGAACCTAGGCAACTATTTGGACTGCTCTTCTTACATCTATCTATTGCATCTGTGCCATTTGTCATTTGGCTTTCTTTGCCAACAGAAAGTACATGTGTAAGTAAAGTAAACTTGTGGCTGGCCAATCTATTTCTCTACTCCGCTTGGCATACAGTTCAGATATCAATACAGGTAATCCTCAATTTACCACAGTTCATTTAATGAACGTTGAACTTTGCCATTCAAAGTTACAACGGCATTGAAAAAAGTGACTTATCATTTTTCACAGTTACCACCTTTGTAGCATCCCCATGATCATGTGATCAAAATTCAGATGCTTGGCAACTAGTTCATAGTTATGACCCTTGTTGTGTCCCAAAGTCATGTGATCACCTCTTGCAATCTTTTGACAAGTAAACTCAATGGGGAAGCCAGAGTCACTTAACGGCTATGTTACTAACTTAACAACTGCAGTGATTCACTTAACAACTGTGGCAAGAAAAGTGGTAAAATGGGGCAAAATTCACTTAACAAATGTCTCACTTAACAACAGAAATTTAGGGCTCCATCGTGGTCGTAAGTCAAGGACTACCTGTACAATCTTAAAACACTGAAGTCTTAAGACAGCAAGTGCTGAAGCTGTTCAAGGAATCCTATCTGTTTCGATGTTAAATAGGGGTCATTATATAACCCATTCGTATAATCTCCTAGAGTCCAAGTTTCATACCTGCCTGTGACCATTCAGAAAATATACATTGAAAAGTTTGCATAACTTTGAATAATTTACCAATAACGATGCCGCCTATAGCCCCAGCTTTTTGGATGTTCCGGGCCTTTTCAGCAAACATGCACTGCCCTCTTTGCATCAGAGCAATTTTTTCCATCAGTGCTTCTGGATTGGTAATCTCAGAGCATCCATTATATGGTTTACTGACTGCAACAAATCCTCTTGTCTGTGGAAGAGATTAAAAGCTTTAGCCTACAATATTCAAGCCTGTAGAACATTTGCATTCCACCAGCAAAACATAAGAACAGCTTCCTAGCAAATATATCTATCAGGTCTAACACAAAATTCAATATGTATAAATCCACTGAAATCAATTAACTTAAACCACATTGGAACATAGCGAGTAATTTTCAAACACAGACATTTAATAAAAAAATGTTTTTCTTAATTTATATTTATGCTTAATAACAATAAGATTCTTAGGCTAAATAAGAATAATTATATCAATCCTAGGAACATTTTGAAGCTGCTTTATTAATTTATCATATAACAAAAGGGGGTATAAAATATTTTAAATATTTTAAATTGAGTACCTGATATGGTGTTACATAATCTTGCAGCGCTGGTCCAAATTGGTACATTTTTTAATATGAATTCCTATATGAATTTTAAATAACCAACAAAAATCTGCTTGTCATGATAGATTAACATTGTCTAGCTCATTATGAATCTGAGATAATCATATTCAGCATAAAATTAGAAGAAACGGAAGGCAGTTATATTCATTTGCTGAATATCTCCACTATGTTTAGTATAAAATATGAACAGACTGCAGCCCCCATATGTTGGACTTTCAACCAATATGGGCAGTGGTGGAAGATATTAGGATTTGTAGCTCAACAGCAAAGTGACCATCTCTGCTAAATACAGTTGAACATGATATTCTTCTGGAAAAGAACACTCTTGCATTGAAATAGCTTCCAACCTATTTTACATATTAGCTAACAACACATAACTGAGAAAGTACAACATAAATGCAATGTTCATCTTTTTATAAAAATATACACAGCCAAAAGGCAAGGAGCCAAAAACCTAAGTCTTTTGTAGCATCTGGTAATTTAGAATGCAAAGGTTTGAATCAGATGACACCCAAATTAACCCATAATTTTAGTTTTGACAAGACTTAATAGGAAAGCATGCAAGACAAGCCCATAGTCAAACTAATCCAATCAAAAAAGTTGCAGGCTAGGTTAAATTGTATGTGCATTCAAGTTGTATATCTTGCTGCAGTTAATCACTGAACCACTTGTTGAAGTTGAAAACATTTTTTAGTATTTATATTGTAAACTGGATTGAATTTTCTATGTGCATCAGTGCTACAATGAAGATTTTCTTAATCCAATCTGATCTCTGGGGTTATAAAGCCAAATATAAGACAAGATTGTTGCCAAGCAGTTATTCAACTGGGACTGGTAACCTATTCTATTCTTCTGATTCGGTATTATAAAATCACAGGAAGATTCAGAGGTTCCCTCTAAGTTATAATCAAATCAAAAAGGCAAATAGTACATATTTGGAGCATTTATTATATTGCATATCAACCAAATGTGCTTGATCTACAACAGAACTGTGTAAATTGTTTCAAGCTCAAAATGTTTTGTTCTGTCTTCACAGGAGGTGTTCCAAATTGAAAACAAAGGAATTTCAATACCCCATTGCAAGCTTGAAATATTTTGCACACTTCTAACAACAACAAATGAGATTCCAAATAGCATCTCTAAAAATTTGCCAGCGGAAAAGAGGGAGAACAATGCCAAAAAGAAAAAAGAAAGAAAATGTTTTTGCATTTAACAGAGGCAAGGATTTCAAGTAGCTTGGACAAACCTTTTTTATGATACTATTTTCCAAACTTTTGGATTCCTTACAGATGTGCCATATTTTGTTTATACTAATTCAAATCATTTTGTTTAGTACTTGTGTAATATGAAAAGAAGAATCTTTGGCGGGGGGGGGGTGTTTCCATTATCTCACTAATTTGGGTGGTGGGCATATCATGTTACAAGCATGTGTCATCTCTGTTTCATGAGATGTACTGGTTGCACTTTGCTTCCAGTTACAATTTGTGCCAATTATGACCTACAATATTAATGGGACCCAGTTATCCAAGAGATTTTCTATTTTCAATAGTTTTTGCCTGCCCAGTAAGATTAGGCAAAATGGTCATCAATTAAAGAATGTGATATATTGAGGCCTGGCTAGCATGCCTCCTCTATTGTGGTACTTTCCCCTGGAACAGCATCTCTCTGCAGTTTCTTATAACTCCTATCTTAAAGCTGTTTCTAAGTTGTCAAAAATCCACATGAGGTTTGAATAGATGCCAAGCCTTTGTTAGTTTTTTAACAGGTTTCAGGCATATATGGTCATTCGACTTTTCTGGAGATACTTTTTTATTCTTTAGGGTTTTTTGTGTGAATTATAAGCTTCTCAGAGCCTTTTTGAAGTCAGGTGATCTCCAGATCAAATAAATAAATAAAATGTCTTTTTAGCATTAACTGATTATTTGCTAGCTACTAAAAAAATGAAGATATCATATGGGCTCCTTTTATGCAAGTTAATAAGCCTCTTTTCGAAATAAAACACTTCATAGCAAACTTTAAGATATTCTTGAATACCATATTTTTCGGAGTATAAGAAGCACTTTTTTCTTTCCTAAAAGAGGCTGAAAATTTGGGTGCGTCTTATACTCTGAATGTAACCCTGCCCACCAGCCGGCCCTCACTCTTTGGCCTCCGCGTGTCCTCTTCCTGGCTGCAGAGATTGCCACTGATAATGACTTGTGTTTTTGGGCTCTGCACGTTGCGTTTTCAGCCTCCAAACACTCTGTTTGAGAGCCCTTCAAGGCTGCGGGGATCACCAAAGCACATCGCCAATCGCTGCCCAAAAATGTGATGCGTTTGGAGGCTGAAAACGCAACCCGCGGAGCCCCAAATGGTTACCCAGAACAGCGGCAGTCTTCTCTTACCCCTTCCATGCTTCGCCTGCTTTAGTTGCTGGAGCTCCCTCTGACAATCAGCTGAGCCTTTGAAGCTATTTTTTAGCCCAACCAGCCCCAACCTCAAAAATAGTGAGTGAACTAATGTGCTGAAGCTGACCAGGCTAAGGATGCTAGCCAGATAAGCAGGCAGAATCTGGTAGGCAGAATTTTCCCCCATTTCCCCGCAAAAAAACTAGGTGCGTCTTATACTCCGAAAATACAGGTACATGTCAATAACTTCACATTCTGCATTTACATGTACCACAAAATATAAGATGTAGGTTAAGTAAAATTTCAAAGGCAACACATACACCAGATTGGTGCTTAGACAGATCCATTCCAAACTGTGCAGGTCCTGCTGTCAAAACTACCCGGCCGAAGAATGGATGGGAAATAATTTGAACTGCACGTGGAGGTAACTGCTGCTCTTTTTGTTGTTGGCTGGATAACTCAATCATTTCTTGCATGAACCGTAAGCCATCTTCAGCATCTAATGAACTTGCTGCCTAATAAAAGTAAAAAAAGTTAATATTTTAATTAGCATTTTCCAGAGCCTTCTACTAAATCCAAAATAACCAAGAGATATTTGGAGAGAGATCTTTATAACTGAATTGGTCTAATGGTTGGTTCAAAGAGTTTTAAAACAATTATTCTTTAAGAAGGAATTTCAAAGTCACTGGTGCCACCATAAAGATTATTTAGGTCCTGGTCTCATATATATATGAGATATATATGAGATATATATGATATATATATATAATTAACTTTAATTTTCCTATGATTTTAACCTGTCTCTCATGAAACTATTAGCACCATGACAACCAAGCATGAATAAGTAATTATAGGGGCCTGGTGGCTCAGCAGACTAAAAGCATTGTGATTAACACCAGCTGTCTGCAATTACTGTAAGTTCGAATCTCACCAGGCTCAAGGTTGACTCAGCCTTCCATCCTTTCTAAGGTAGGTAAAATGAGGACCCAGTTTGTGGGGGCAATAAGCTGACTTTGTATAAATGTACAAAAGTATGAAGGCTATTGCATAACGCATTGTAAGCCGCCCTGAGTCTCCGGAGAAGGGCGGCATATAAATCAAATTAAAAATAATAATAATAATAATATATCTATTATCTCTAGGATAAATAGCATGAAGAAATATGTATTGTCCAAATAGTTCACAGACGTTAGAGCAAGCATTTCAAAAATTATTTTATAAGACTTATAATACATCAATGAAAAGAAGGTTAAGGCAAAGTGAGACCTTACTTGGATAGCATGCTGCACCAGTTGTACTCGTCCATCTTTGAGATGAATCAAACTGACTCCCATCTTTTTCAGTATCTCTAAATGTTCAGGATTACTGGCCATGAAATCCCTGGCTCTCAGCGGAGGCTTTGGTCCACTGCCTAAACCCTCTTCCCTGAAAAAAAGACAAGCAAAGCAAGTGCTATCAACATTTTAAGATATGAACGGATTGGGTCCCAATATAAAGCAGCCATGCACACTTGCTAATCACATGGCAAACGGCCAGTAAACTGTCAGAAGCCCAACTGCACAGAAGACATACAAAGTCATTTTCTTGTCTCTTTCCCTAAGATAACAGCAGCATCAGCAGGCAGGGAGGGAGAACCAGAATGCACAACCATTGTAAATTGTTCCAGTATTGTTTCTTTTTGCCCTTTTTATTTTCTGGTTTCTTTCCATTACTCACTCTGTTGAGTAGTTAATTTGCGCATATTATTTCAAGGGGTTATGTACTGAAAAAAATTACAGGGATTTGCCAAAACTTTTCAATAAGAATTCTGCTTGTGAAAATTAGATGTTAGGGAAGCAACCTCCACAAGGGTAATTACCATATTTTCTGGCGTATAAAACGACTTTTTAACACATGAAAATCTTCTCAAAAGTCGGAGGTCGTCTTATACGCTGGGTGTCGTTCTCCTATAACCAAGTTGATGAGCCTTAAATGGCTCTGGTGATCCAAGCTCTGACGATCCCAGCTGCGCTGCCTGCTAATCAGGCAACGCAGCTGGGATCGCCAGAGCCATGTAAAAGAAAAAAAAGTTTTCCCCCTCCAGCTTGCTTACCTTAGCTGCTAGTCGCAACGCTTGCCTTGCTTCGCTTGCCTGAATCCATTCCATCAGCAAGCCACTCCCTGCCTGCAATCAAGCAGGCAGGGAGTTGTGGACTTCAACTCCCAGAATTCCTCAGCCAGCAAAACAAAGCTGGCTGAGGAATTCTGGGAGTTGAAGTCTACAAGTCTTAAAGTTGCCAAGGTTGGAGACCCCTGTTCTATTGGGTAAGTTTTTTTCCCCTTTGGGAGCTTTAAAAAAATAGTTAATTGGGGGTTTTTTTAGTTATTCTTTTTTAGACCTAGCCATTTAAAGTTTAGGAAGTTTTAAATTTAGTTTTCATATAAAAATAAAAATAAAAATAAAATAAAATAAAATAATATTTATGCAGCTTTCTGAGATTTAGTGTGTTTCTGTAGTGTTTCACTCTAACTACACAAACACACAAAATCTCACAAAGCTGTATGTGGAATTTTATGTGTGTAAAGTGTGAAAGTTATTTTTTGGGGGGGCTTTTTGTGGCTGTGTGAGGTTCCTGCTTGTTACAGGGGCCATTTTGGATCTAGCACAGCTGCTTTTACATTGTGGGTGAGCCAGTTGATGTTTTTTAATTTTTATTTGGTGTGTGTTGGAAGAGGGGTAGTCTTATACTGCGAGTATAGCCTAAACCCTATATTTTAATAGGAAAAGTCGGGGGTCGTCTTATACACCCAGTCGTCTTATACGCCGGAAAATATGGGTATATTTATATAATTGCATTTATACAACTTGTTAGCCTAGCAAAAATTAGTAATAAAACATTAATAGCAGGATTTAATTTTGCAAAACAAACATGTGGATTAACATAATCATTTTCCTATTTATCTTCCTTTAAAACCCCAATGGAAAATAGAAACAACTCTTACATTCTTGAAATACTCCTAGGGCAGCTCTTGTCCACCACATTTTTCAGGGGTTCCCTTATACTCTGAGCATACATGGGATCATTGGGAAACAGTATTTGGGTGTTAGGACAAGTCCAATCAAAATTACTGTCATCCAGCTCCATGTATTCTGTAGTCTGTAGGAAAAAAGGACATACACAGCCTGCTAAATTTAGAGTTACATTTTAATGCCTATAAATCATCACATTTTAGGAAATTGACCATCCAAATGCATAAAAATGATATGTGGACAGAGGCAGACTCTTCTTCCAACCGATCAAGATTTTATGTTCAAATTTCATAATCATATTCTGCATACTCTCTGCGAACAGAGAGTAAGAACAGAATGAATACTTAAGAACAAATGATTAATTTAATTAGACTGAAAGATTTGCAATGCAGAACTCACAATATTTTTTACCAGGGCTGTTTGGTTTGCAGTAGATAGCCAAAGAGGTAGCAAATGAGCCTCTGTAGTAAAAATGTAGTCTTCAATATCAAAAGTTAGGTCTTCTTTATCAGCAAACAGCAGGTATAAATATTTGAACATTTCAGCTAGGAAGAAAGAATCCATCCTACAAAAAGAAGAAAGAGAACATGCATTTACATATATATTACTTCTTTTTGATGTTTTCATTTTCCTGCACTTCTAACAAATCTTTAATAAAGTAGCTAAAGAACAATTACTAATCACAGCTTTATCATCTAGATTGTGTTACCCACAATTTCAAAACTGTACATACGGATATATTTAATTGAGCAATGCAATATTTAAACAAAGTACCATGTTTTCCCAAAAATAAGACATTTTCTTTTGATCCCCCCCCCCAATAAGGGCTTGGCCTTATTATTGGGAGGTCTTATTATTTTGGGGGTGCAGGAGGCGGTGAGTGTGGGACTGGATGTCCTGTTGCTGCCGTCGCCTCCCCTCCCTGTTCTTCGTGCTGGCCGAGCGGCCCAACACACCCCACACCACCCCAATGGCAACAGCTGCTTCCCTTCCCCGCCGTCTCTTTTACGAGAGGGGTGACAGGTGAGGCGGGGGAGAAGTGAGACGTGTGGAGCGACACGTTGCTCCCCTTGCCGTCTCTTCTCCCGCCCCCACCGGGCATCACAGGGCTTCTGCCCCTTGCTTAGCCACCCTCCCCCTTTAGGGATGCAATTTGGGGGTGGCAGGTAGGGCGGGTGAGAAGTGAGATGCACATCTTACCTTTCCAGCTCCGTTGCATTCCTCGCCATTGTATCCAACAGGGAAACACGCTGTAAAAGAAAACCTTCTCACGAGTTCAATCAAACTTCTCAAACTCGCGATAAGGTTTTCTTTTACAGCGTGTTTCCATGGACACAACGGCGAGGAAAGCGATGGAGCTTGAAAGGTCTCATGGCCCAACATGTCCCACCGTGTTTGCGAGTTCGAAAAGTTTGATTGTTCCCCCCTCACCTCCCCCCTCACCTCAATTCATTTTGGTTGCTCAGCAAGCAACCAGAGGAAATGGTGGGACCGGCACTTACATGCGCATGCATGTAATTAGTTGGGGGGGGGGCTTATATTATTGCATGCACTGAAAAGCCCGATTGGGTTTATTATCCGGACATGTCTTATTTTCAGGAAAACACGGTATATAGTGCAAAAAATTGTCCAGCCTGCAAAAGTGTTTACAGAATTGCACATGCATTTCCTCTCTTGGTGTTATGGACCCTAGCTATGGACTTATTTTTCCAGTTTCTATTATAAAGTCTTAAATATGTTTATTTTAAAATTTTCATTAGCTGTCTTGGAGGTTCCTCTATGGAAATATTTTCCCAAGATGATAATTGAATGTTATTTTACATATGCTTAAATAATAAAATAGTAACATTAAAAAGAAAAAATCCTACTAGCATAAAATCCTATTTTTCCCAATGTTCTTTGACAGGCAAATGAGCATCAACATTTTTAAATTGAATTTTACAGACTTTTGTCTCAAGATTTTTGAAAAATTCAGTTACCTGTCCTCATGACTTCCGGTGCGAACATCCTTCATAGCAGCAAATCCACAAGGTACTCGTGCATATTTATTTAAGTTTTCAATGAGAGTTTTTCCTACTTCTAAATAATAGGGATCTCCGGTAGCCTATTTTCAGGGAAATAATTTGGATTAATATATTACATTGATTAAAGCCCTAACTGCATTACTCTGATATTCAATCTCTGATGTATTTTAAGGTTTTGATCTAAAGTCATAATGTCTAAAACATAATAGAAATTTTAACCTGTTAATAACCATAGTTAGAGGCAGCTTCTGTAACTTTAAAGAAAATTCTCAATTATTTTTGTTGTGGAAATATCACAATATCTCAGTAGAACTGCATGCTAATTATCTTAATTCCAATATGCTTTAAAATATAGTTTTAGTCTTCCAACAAAAACTCAAAGTACACTCCAGAATTATTTTCTGTATTGTTAAATCAAATCAAATCAAATCAATTTAAATTTTATTTTAATAGCAGGTTGGTCACAAATGTCAGACTCAAATCATAAACTGCCACCTATGTAGGCTAAAATTAAGGATTCCAGAAATCCAGAACTTCCATCAAAACAGTCAGCCCAGTGCTTAAATTATGCTGAAATAACGATAACCACCCCTCCTGCTATCCTAGCATCTGCTAAATTTAAGAAAGGTTTTGTTTTCCAGTGCAGTAATTACACTTAGCTAGCAAACCTCCTAATCATCAAATAAGATGTTTTTTCCCTAAACCATCTAGCTACTGCTATCTGTCAGCATAACCAATTTCACAGAAATATTTTTCATCACTCAGACTTGAACAACAAAGCATATCTAGCTTTCTTAGATAACAGGAGGCAAAATGAGTTCTGCAAAGAGAAGATACTCCATATATTTCATTTAATTTTTAATGCGTTTCCTGCTATTTTCTAGAATGTAACGTATCTTGAATTTGAAGAACCTTACTTTATACAAGAAATATGTGCTTTCTGCAAATTCTGGCCGTAAAGGATGCTGAGCCCAATGAACCCGGAAGTCTGTTGTAAATGCCTGAACAAGACAAGTGGAAAGGTAAAAATACTCAATTATTCTTCTTTGAAGGAATAACTTCTAGCATACTGGGATCCTGCAAAAAATTAATCAAAATATCCCAAAATTGCTATATTGTCCTGCAAAGAAACAGAAATCTTCTGAAACTTGGCTTATCTTTTAAAAAGCTAACCACTAAATATCTAAATATCAAACAGATGCCATCAAGTCATACAATGATGACCCCTGTCTTAAGTCTGCTTCTACTGGACCAACTCTCAAATGAATGAAACAGAACGCACAGACATTTTTGGCACAATACATTAAAAGAGGCTCAAAAGACATTTTCAACATGTACAGCAAAATTCAGAATGGACAATTCAGTTATGGACAGAGTAACAAGTTCACATTCAGATTTCACTCAAAAATCTCTTCCAAATTAAATGTAATAAATACACAGCAATCCACAAACGTTAAGAATAATACTGCTTTTAATCATTGAATAAGCTTACTTTTATCATTCATGATCATTCATTTTTTATATTTATGGGACGCCATCCAAATATTATATTATCAAATTCAAAATAAGGCATTCAGTGGTAAAAATCTTAGAGAAATAGACAAAACAACTAAAATAACCAAATACCATATTAAATATTACCGTGTTTCCCCGAAAATAAGACCCTGTCTTATATTTTTTTGAACCCTGAAATAAGTGCTTGGCCTTATCGCCGTGCGCTCAAAAGCCCGATTGGGCTTATTATCAGGGGATGTCTTATTTTGCAGGAAACAGGGTATATATATAAATATAATTTATTTTCCCATATATCTATGCATGTTTTAAGGGTTTATTTATTTAGTCAAAATTAGAAGCTTCTTTTTATTTAGAAGAGTAGTATATAATTGACCGTTTGAAAAGTGTCAGGGTTATTAATGCAAAATCTCAAAAAGTAAAAATTGACAAATAGAACTAGGTGGATACAGTTAAATATTCCTAACACTCATTTTCCCCAAATACCTGAAATGTATACTTCATATTTATACTCCCTAAATATTGAATTTATAAGACATGGTCATTGCCTTACCTCAGGAAGGAAATTATGCTTTTTTATGACCTGATATAGCATTTCATGAGTTTCTATAGCAGGTCGAATATCACCTTTCAGTACCTAGAATTCAAGGAAAAAAGGTACATCACATTATATTTAAATAGAAGAGTATATTATTTTCCAATCCACAGCACAGGGCATTACAGTAAGACTCCAAGTTAACAATAATCTAATGAAAACGATTTTACATTTATTTTAAAAAGGTAAGTTGTTCATTAAAAGCAATGGACTTGATGACAACACTATTTATGTCCTCTAACTAAAAACATACATTTGCTTTGAGTATGTAGTAGTTAGTGATACACAGAAAGTATCAAATTTGCACCATTTTAAATTCAGATTAGTCTGTAGCAAGTTTGAAATATTGTTCTGGGTTTGCCACATTGTTGTTGTTTTTCTGTATTTGATATAGGCTGTTTTGAACATTCTGGAAGTATTTCAGATTTGAAAAAGTGAAAATGGGACGTTTCGAATTTGCATATCCTTTATTTTATTTATTTTATTTATTAAATTTATATCCCGCCCTTCTCCCCAAAGGGACTCAGGGTGGTGAACAGCCGAGAATTAAAATAACATACAATATAAAAGTTAAAATAATTAAGAATAAATTAAATTAAACGGCCGCCCCAATTTAAAACCCCTAGCAATACAATTAAAAAAACTAACTCCTAAAACCTATTCAGGCCAGGCCGGCTTGTTGAAATAAAAACGTCTTCAGGGCCTTACGGAAAGTGCGGAGATCCGGAATCAGCCGTAATCCGTGAGGTAGCTCGTTCCAGAGGGCAGGTGCTCCCACAGAGAAGGCTCTCCCCCTGGGGGCCGCCAGCCGACATTGCTTGACCAACGGCACTCTGAGGAGGCCCTCTCTGTGAGACCGTATTGGCCGGTGGGAGGTTATCGGTAGCAGCAGGCGGTCTCGTAAATACCCTGGCCCTAAGCCATGGAGCGCTTTAAAGATGAGAACCAACACCTTGAAGCGCACCCGGAAGACCACCGGGAGCCAGTGCAGCTCGCGCAGGAGAGGTGTTATATGGGAGCGCCATGTCGCTCCCGTGATCACCCGCGCGGCCGCATTCTGGACCAGTTGGAGCCTCCGGGTGCTCCTCAAAGGGAGCCCCATGTAGAGAGTGTTAGCGTAGTCCAGGCGAGAAGTGACGAGAGCATGAGTGACTGTGCATAAGGAATCCCGACTCAGAAAGGGGCGCAACTGGCGTATCAGGTGAACCTGATAGAAAGCCCCCCTGGCCATGGCCGTCATCTGCTCTTCTAAAGACAGCCGTGTGTCCAGGAGGACGCCCAAGTTGCGAGCCCCCTCTGTGGGGGTCAATGACTCGTCCCCAATAGCCAGTGATGGCGCCAGCTGGCTATATCGGGATGCCGGCATCCACAGCCACTTGGTCTTGGAAGGGTTGAGTCGAAGCCTGTTTCTCCCCATCCAGACTCGCATGGCCTCCAGACACTGGGACATCACTTCAAGGGCATCGTTGGGGTGTTATGGGGTGGAGATGTACAGCTGAATGTCATCAGCATACAGATGGCATTGCACCCCAAATCCATGGATGATCTCACCCAGCGGCTTCACATAAATGTTGAACAGGAGTGGCGAGAGGACCGACCCTTGTGGTACCCCACAAACAAGGCGCCTCGAGGTCGACCTCTGCCCCCCTGCCAACACAGACTGCGACCGGTCGGAGAGATAGGAGGAGAACCACCGCAACACGGTGCCTTCCACCCCCAATCCCTCCAGCCGGTGCAGCATGATACCATGGTCGATGGTATCAAATGCCGCTGAGAGATCTAATAGGACCAAAACAGAGGAGCAACCCCTGTCCTGAGCCCTCCAGAGATCATCAACCAACGCGACCAATGCCGTTTCCATGCTGTACCCAGGCCTGAAGCCGGACTGGCATGGATCTAGATAGACGGTTTCATCCAGGTACTGCGGGAGCTGTTGCGCAACCACACTCTCAACAACCTTCGCAATAAAGCGAAAGTTGGAGACAGGACGGTAGTTAGCCATAACAGTCGGATCCAGAGAAGGCTTCTTAAGGAGGGGCCTCACCACTGCCTCTTTCAAAGCAGGCGGCAGGAAACCCTCCCCCAAAGAAGCATTTATAATCCTTTGGAGCCAGCCTCGCGTAACCTCCCGGGTAGCCAGTACCAGCCAGGAGGGACACGGGTCCAGTAAACATGTGGTTGCGTTTAACCTCCCCAGAATCCTGTCCACGTCCTCAGGAGTCACAGGATCGAACTCGTCCCAGATAACATTCTCAAGACCCGCCTCAGCCACCCCGCCAGAATCTACCCAGTCAGAGTCCAAGCCTTCCCGAATCTGAGTGATTTTATCATGCAGATACTGTACAAAATCCTCAGCCTGCCCTTGCAGGGGGTCCTCCCGCGCTCCCTGATGTAGGAGGGAGCGGGTCACTCTAAACAAGGCGGCTGGGCGGTTATCTGCCGATGCAATAAGAGAGGAAAAGTAGTCACACTTTGCCGCTTTTATCGCCACTAAATAGGTCTTAATACGAGACCTAATTAGTGTTCAATCGGATTCGGAGCGACTGGCTCTCCAACCACTCTCTAGGCGTCTTTTCCGGCGTTTCATTCCCCTCAGCTCCTCGGTGAACCAAGGAGCTGGGCAGGTGCGACGCCGGGTCAGAGGCTGCAAAGGCACGACATGATCCAAAGCCCCGGCGGCCGTCCTATCCCAGGTGGCCACCAGATCTTCAGTCGAGTCGTGAGCCAAAGCCTCAGGAAATAGCCCAAGCTCCCTCTGGAATCTCTCCGGATCCATCAGGCGCCTGGGGCGGAACCACCTAATCAGTTCCACCTCCCTGCAGTGGGGTGCAGCGGTCAGAAAGTCCTGCCTCAGGAGAGACTGGTCAGACCATGACAGGGGCTCAATAGCTATATCCCCTATAACCTGGCCATTCAACCACTGAATGTGGCAATCTTTTAACAAAGTATAAAATAGCCTGTCTATAAAATTATTGTTTATAATAAATACAGATTATTAAATGATGCTGAAGTGCATCAGTTGAAATCGCTTAAGAAATACAATGTTAACAAGTACATGTGGAATATCTAATAATTTTACAAACATTCTTAATGTCTAACAAATGAATAATTTAGGGAGAAAGATGACCCTGCGCACAGATAAAGAATCCTGTGAAAATTAATTACATTATTTGAGGACTAATATTAATTGAGGGGGATGTGGTTAGAGATTATGTTATCTCCTGAATGTTGGTTGTTTTTTGTATATTGTTGTGCTTCTACCTTGTGAAGCCATCTAGAGATGCTTTGGAATTGAGTGGCTTTGAAATATAATATCATTGGATGAAAATGTTTTGCACGTGCAACTTACTTGCAAACCAGGAAAAAATGCTAGTAGTGAGTCCATCCATGTGCGAGCATTGAGCATTGGCTTGTGTATGTGCACATCAAGCAAAAGAGGTGGCTGGCTGATGTATCTCATTATGGCATCATAATGCTAGAAAATATCAACATTTGATGTATTTATTCACTTTGATTACTGAAGCTGACTTAAAGCAGATAAGCACACTAAACAATAATGCTTAGATTTAGAGGCTGTAAGCCAAATATCAGCCAAATACAGCTTTTATTTAAAAAGGAAATCAGCCATACTCTTCAACTACTTTACTTAAGACATAAATAATACGGTCAGAAATACAATTTACATAATTTTTATTACGTTACTTAAAATGAAGTATTCAATTAATCTAAGGTCCATAAACAAGCAGAATATGCAATTAAAGGATTACCTTCTGTCCCCAAGATCAGTTTTTCTTTCTCTATTCACAGGTAGTCTTCAACTTCTAACCATTCATTTAGCAACCATTTCAATTTATAATGGCGCTGAAAAAATGACCTACAAACAGCCCTTACACTTACAAGGATCACAGTAACTCCATGGTCATGTAATCAAGATTTGGTGCTTGGCAGCTGGCATCTATTTATAACAGTTGCAGCATCCCAGGGTCATGTGATCATCATACGTGACCTTCCCAGACAGCTTCCAAGAAGCGAAGTTGGTCAGGGAAACCAGATTAATAATCATATGATTTGCTTAACAACTATGGCAAAAAGGGTTGTAAAATCTGGCATGATTTGCTTAACAACCCCCTTACTTAGTAATGGAAATTCTGGTCACAATCATGCTTGTAGGTCAAGGACTATCTGTATTTTCCTCAACTGTACTTTAATCGCAATAAAGCTCTAGTCTTGGATACATAGCATTGGCATAAACTTGCTTCAGGACAGAATATGTTACATTCAAGACAAGTTATAGTGAACATTTTAGCTGCCAATTTTTTTTTGGTCAACATGATAGTTCTAAATCTATCTAAATCCAAAAACATATAAACATTAGCAAATATTTTGATTCACTTATTTATTGCCCATTTTACTTCCAAAACTTAAGAATTCTAAACGTGGGTGATGCCTCATTAATAGGCAACTTTAAAATGAATTCTATGATTAATTTGAGTTTTTTTATTACAGATATACCAATATTTGGAAGTAGATGAATTTTATGCTAAATGGAACAATGAAAAAAAGGCAACTTGTGCTGGAATGGAAGAAACATCATATAATTATTTCTGATTGTAATAACACACTAATTTTAGAAGAACAGATCGACAATATCTAACATAATACATCACAAGCATAGTACAAAGTTCTATAGTTCAAGGAGAGAGAAATTCCATCTGTACTTACGGTGTTAAATCTTTCTAAAAAACTGTCATCTCCAAGCAAGACATAGGCCTTTAATAAATACTCATAATACGAATCTATTCCTGCTCCAACTCCGCTATCTAGAATAAGATACAAATGTTAATACAATTAATTTCATTACTAGTTTTCAGTTCCATGAAGTAAGTTCTTATTGCTATAAAACAATTAAGTGCAACCAAGAAACAGATAAAAAGGGCCATGGGATGAAAGTAAGCATAATCAGTGGTGGGATTCAAATAATTTAACAACCAGTTCTCTGCCCTAATGACCAGCTGGATAGGAGTGGCTTGGTAGTCATGTGACCATGTGGGTGTGGCCAACTCAACGTCACTCACATCGATGGGTGCTTCGCCTTAGCTGTTAATAAAGGTTAACCAAAGGCAGTTTCTGTAAGCAGGGCAATAAAAATTAGGCTAGAAACAACACCAGAATGTTTCCTTCCTGCCTTCCTTACAGGATTAGCCCTGTAAAGTGGAAAAAAACAAAATAAGATTTCTTCCAACCGGTTCTCCAAACTGCTTAAAAAGTTAACAACCAGTTCTCCTGAATAGGTGCGAACTGGCTGTATCCCAATATTGAGCATAATGCAATATCTTTTTTTAGTCCAAAGTTAGGCACAATTTTCTGACATACAGTTTAAATCCTCTATATAAAACACCTCTAATCTCCAATCTCATTGTTATGTAATTAAGAGGGAACATAGCTTCATACCTTTACGGACCCAGTCACCCGTATGAATGTTAATAGTAACTCCTACTAAATTGCTGCTACGTTGCCTTTTCTCCCAAAGGAAATCAAGGGCCTTCCGAGCATATTCCTATAGAAAATAAAATTAACATTTTCTAATTAAATACAGTTTTACATGCAATGAAGTAGTCAGAAAATTGATGCAAGCAATAAATTTATTCAGTGGTTCTACTTTTAAACTTACACAAGTTGATACAACAATAAATTCTATTTTGTATGTATTGGACATCTCAGAGAAGGCTTTAAAAAAGTTGGATGCAAATGCGTTGCTGCCAAAGATGCATCATAAAAATTGGAAATAACTCATATAGTTTGGACTTGTCATACTATTGCTGCAGTTTGGACACCGAGAGATCATTAATATAACCTTAGATTGATCAGAGTTGCTAAAAATGCAAATTACCTGTTTGGCTGTAAACCCCAGCCATTCAAAATGTAAGATCAATACCATTATACATGGGGAATGTTCCTTAAGAATTGTCTTACAATATTGGAAGGATAACTCTATACTGGACTCACACCAACAGATGGCAAATGTGTACTTCTGAAATAAACCTCTTTTTTTTACAAATAGGCAACAAGAAGGACTTTTGAGTAAGCTTGTCAAATTTGGGGAGCTGTATTTCCAGAGTCTTTTTTCCCCTTTTGGGGGGGGAAGTAGAATTAATATCATTTTGTAGTAAACCTCCACTTAATGGACTAAAAAAGAAAGAAGTGTATATTAGAGCTAGATGCCTATTAAATAACAAATGGTATTCTTCGGACACCCAAACATATTGATATATCAAAAAAACCTCCTCACTAATAATGCCTATTTTGAGGAGACGCAACAAATACTGTTCAGACTGATTCAGACTTGAACCAGTATTTGGGGCAAAGCTTTATTGCCTGAAATTCAAACAAAAGAATTCAGATTCAAAGAACACTGTACAGTATCTTAAATCCAAATCCAAAGTCTGTCAAAATAAATCCCTCAAATCAAACATTTATCATAATTTTTTTCATTAGAATGAAAACGTAATAAAAAAATCAGGAAACAATATTATATACCAATATTAACCTCTAGAAGAATAGTTATGAGTGCCAAAACAATAAAATTATGATTGTTAATAAACAAAAATAGCTCATTCATTTAAAAACCCCACCCTATTCTTTGCTTCAAGCAATAGATGTTTGGTAATTTGGGACACCATATATTAAAAGCCTCAAGTAGCATGGCCAAATTTCAAATGGACACAGCTTCTTTAAACTTTGTAATTAAGGATTAACTGCTGGCTCCACTTCTATCTGTAAAGTTTCTAAAATCTACTTTGAATAATATTGCAGATTAATGGATTAGTAAAAGAAAATGTTGCCCATTAAAACTGAAACTGTAGGTTTATTGTATACAATGATTTTGTTGCAGTATTCTCTATGGCTAATTGCAAGAATTCTAAATATAACTTCAAGAAAAGATAACGACTAAAATGCAGATATTGTAAAAATCGAAGTATCTGGAATTATAGGAAGAGTTGGACTGATAACATGCAATGATGCAGAAATGAATTTAATAGAGTTTTAAGAAAATAATTCTTTTTTTATTGACAATCCCTAATATAAATGCAGACTTCATTCTAGATGTCACTAAAAATGCAGCTTCAAAATCAAATTGACTGTTATACGAAATGGAATTTGAGATGGTGTCTGGTCAGCCAAAATCTTTCTGTGTAGACTGTATAACAGACCGTAAATTATTAATGTCAAATAAGCAAGTCTTTCAGCATAATTAAAGCAAGTACTTGTCCCAAAAAGATTTGTGTTGAAGGACATACAATCCAAAAATAAGAAACATATAAAGACAAAATCAGTATGCTGTCCTTATGCATAAGATATACTTAGGAGTTATAGAAGAGACATGGCCAATACTGTAGTTATAATACTGTCCAATGGTAAGGTGTCAGGCACAAATAAAATTTCTAATGAACTACTTAATTGATTGAGGGAATATCATATGTATGTTTATGTTGTTCTAAGTTAGTCTTTGAAATTTTGCGGCAACACACAATTTAATACAATATTGTATAATTACACAGGGTATTTCATGTTCATATATTATAATGATTTGTATTTATTAAACAATTATACTGCCCAACTCTCAACATCTCTGAGTGGCTCACAACTATCAAAGAAATTACAACAAAATCAATTTAAAAAATAAAGATAAAAGGTTACATTATGTCATAAAGAGTCTCACTCTCCCAAACACAGCACAACCTTCAGGCCCTGGAACAGAACGCTGATAGATATTTTAAGCAGTACCTCATAATATAAATAGAAAAGCAATTTCTGGTATGAGAGATTCAGTGACCAGTTCAGCAACAGAACATGGCTGAAATTAATACTATCAAGTAATTATACGATTTTTAAAAAATCAAAAGTTAGCAGTTGCACAAAAATAATTCATCACTTATCATTAAACAAACCTCAAATATTGATGCCCCTGTGAAACGACTCAGAGCAGCAAACTCTAAGATCAACGTTCCTGCACAAGCTGTACAAGTTTCAGTCTCTGTTCCTGTCCGGGCTTCTGGACTTCTTAGACCAAATTTTAAATTAATCTAGAAGAAAAAGAAATGCTAAAATCTGTTATTGTGATAATGCTATTTCTTAAACACTTAGAAAAATAAATAGATATGTTTTTTTCAAACAAGACACAATAAGTAGTCACTAAGTTTGTACTATATTGCAGAAAAGCTGGAATAATTAAGTAAGCTGCAGCAGTTAGAAGCAAAGAATGTACAGCACCATAAAAAAAAATAGTGCTCAACAACTTTTGAGTGTGGCAAACCTATGCAAACTGACCTATTATATGAGTTTAAATGTCAATGCTAAAGTCACTGGTGCTTTAACTTTAAATGAAGCTGTCTCTGAGTATATCACCTGCTATAGAGAGAGCAGTCCTCATTTTCATAATCAAACCATATGGCTTTTTAAGTCCATTGCATTTGAAAATGTAGTACATATAAACATATAAATATCTTCATAAACCATGCTATTAGCTGAAGAGTTAAGATTCTAAGCGTTATAAAAATCAGAAGTTTTCACCGATATCACTGATAACTCTCTCTCTCTGACTCAACATGTAATTTTATAATACTGGAAAAACAAATAATACATGGCATACATTAGTCTTAGTTCAGAGTTTACTTACTCTTGGATATGGGAGCCCACTTGTGGTGTTAAAAGCTGGCAACAGTTTGTAGCCTAACTGTTTTGCCATGTGCAGAAGTTCTCCATTGTACCACTGCATGACTTCACCTTTCTCTTTCAGCATGATTGCTACGGAGTGCCCACCTAAAAGACCTCTGGATAAAATGAAAGGGAGAAGTCAGGAAGTTTATTAACTTAGTGAATGCTGATACAGAAGAGAACCAAAGACTGGGGAAGCAGAGGAGAAGAGAATGTCACTCTTCAAACTGCTTCCAATCTCTAATGATGTTTAGTAATTACAGTTATACTAGCCTTAAACATAGCATAAGTGCTGAAAAACTGAAAATAGTTTGTAGAATGTTTAAATATTACTTACTTCTAAAAAGTGTATATAAATGAAGATGTGTAAACCTTTTTGACAGTAATGCAGAAAATGCAGTTTACAAAAAGGATAGGTTTACAAACTATGAACTATGAATTCTATTATGCTTAAAAATTTAAGAAATAAGTTTATTTAATTTGAGATCACAAAATGTATAAAGGTAATCATTGGCAGATTTACAAATCTGATCCCTTTTGTCCCAGTATAAAACTTACCCAAGCACTCTTATGTTTGTTTCAAACACTGATACCACAATGTCGTTGTCTAAATTAACATCTCTAATTACTTTTTTAACAGCATCTTCAAACTCTTTGGTTTTATTTAACACCTGCAAAACAAGAGTAAACAGGCTGATTATCTCTTAAGAAGCTAAGTTTTGTTAAGGAGAAACTTGAAGTTTCATTTTAAATAAAAAATAAAGAATATCAGATTCTGTCATCTTTGGTTAGCAACAAAATCCTATTACAAAGGCAAACTCTGAATGAAGGTTGTCAGGTTTGTTTAATTTATCCTTCTCAAAACCAGTAAAAGAGGTATAGTTGAGCAATACATACTGAAGAAATCTGAAATCTCATTACATTTTCAAGCCACTTAAGGTATAAGTGCTGTCTAGGAGCAGGGAGAGCCAGGTGTTAGTTCACTCTCAAAAGCTCATGGATGATTTTGGAATAATCACAATCTCTAAAGCCCAACCTATGTACTCCACTGGGTTGTGCCTGTGAGAAAAATGGGATGGGGGAGCACTGTGTATGCCACTTTATATCACTAATCCATTTTCTAAAGGTAGATTATAATTTAAGTAAATCAAGTATTTGGTTAAGGACAATTATTAAATTCTACACAATCATGTAATGAGAATTTAGATTTAATACATTAGAAGAAATCAAACCTACCACAAGAGTGTCCAAAGTATCTATTAGTGTCAGTGAAAACCTGGGTGAAAAAGGAGAGATGAAAAATAGGATTTAATCAAATGCAATAATTTATTATTAAATGTTCATGTAAGAACTTGTAACAAGTGCCTATTACTAAAAATGGTGGACAGTGTTCTCCTTCCTCAAGTTGATGAACTGTTAAAGACACAGAATGCTTTCATGAATCATTGAAGACTTTTGAAAACAGACTATATATTAAAAATATGCAGCTTCAACAATTCATAAAAACTATAAATGACTTCAGCAGTTTGTCAGCTCAAGAGAGTTCAACACCATCTGCCATGGCAACCAACACCTGTTTGCAATGGTTGTAGCATTCCCAGAGCCACATGATCACCATTTGCTATCTTCCCAGGAGGGCTTCTGATAAGCAAAGTCAACGGAAGAAGTGAAATTCACTTATCAACCGCAGCAAAAAAGATCACAAAATTGGACAGATATCATTTAGCAACCATATCACTTTGCAATGGAAGTTCCTGTCCCAATTGTGGTAATATTTTAAATTAATATTTATTTTACTTAGTTTAACTGTTTTATGTTATTAAAACACTGTAACCTGCTGCAACATTCTCCAGATAATGCACAGACTAAAAATAATTTAAAGAAATTAATAATATTTATCTGATGCAATTATTAGTCAGATATTATTTTTGCTTTTCTCCCTTTTGGTAAATATTCCTGTTCTGTTTATGGCTATTTATTCAGAATTTAGGTTCAGTTTTATTGGATTTGTAATAATGGATCCACAGAATTTCAATTAAATCTAAATACTGAATCTTCAATAATTATTTCAAAATACTAACTTTCCCAAGGCATCATCCACATCTCCACGACTTGGCTCTTGACCCCGAATTCTTCCACGGCAAGTTAAAGGCATGAGCTCATCAGCTGGGTAAGCATGTTCCTATTGGGAAAAAAAGGAAATGAAAAACAAAACAGAATAATAATCTAGTGAAGTTGAAATGCATGATACAATAGCAATTAGATCAAGTTTTACCCAGTGGTGAAATGTAAAATTTGTTATTACCGGTTCTGTGGGCGTGGCTTGGGGGGGTAATGTGACTGGGTGGGCATGGCCAACCTTTTTTTAAAAAAACTTTTAAAACCATTTTTTCTACCACCTCTTTGGCCGAAGAGGTTGTAGAAAAAATGGTTTTAAAAGCCTCTGACAATCTCAGCTGAGCCGGGCAATCATCAGAAGCTTTTTTTTACACTTTTAAAAGCATTTTAAAAGCCTCTGATGATTGCGCAGGTCTGCTGGGCTTGTGGGGGGGAGCAGGGATTTTTGCTACTGGTTCTCTGAACCACCCGCCGCCATCGCTACCGGATTGACCATGCAATGCTGCAGCTGGTCATAAATGTGAGTCAGTTGCCAAGTGTCCAAAATATGATAACATCAGTGCAGAGGGGTGGGGAGGCAGCAGTCATAACTTTGAAGGCATGTTGTAAGTAGGTTTATTAAGATGAAGAATGGTTACATATTGGTGGAGCACCAATTTTTGTATTTGCAAGATTGGCTTTTAAATGTTTCTTATTCAGCACCTCTCATGTTGCTAAGCTAAGAGTTCATTGCACCATTATTGTACATAAATAGGAATTGTCAGCAAGTTGTTTTGAATTAATTCAAATTGTTTTAAAGAGATAATTAATGTAATTCAGGAATATAAATAAAATATTCACAATGGTTTTGTCATCTAGAACTAGTTACACCTGAAAGTCTCTTACACTGTTTTCATTTAAAGAAAATTGGGAAGACATCCTTGCAATCTGAACATTGCCCCTTCTGCCTCCATCCTCAGAAAAGCATACAATCTAACTTAAAACTTAAATACAATTGAATAATCCCTTTGGAATAAGAAAGTATTTACATTCAAAATAATGTATTTAAGAAGATCACTACATTGACAAGTAGTGGTCAGCAGATTTTTCAAAACAAGATCCTTAAAATGGTGTGTTACATTCTCTCTAATGTCCCTAAAAGGGATGTGTAAAATGTATAAAATTTAAAGGATTTTGGAAATACTTCAATTTAAAAAACTGTTTGATACAGGCTGTGCCAACCATTTCAAGAATATCCAGTCTGAAACAGAAATTATGAGCTTAGAACACTTTCAGAATGGCTAAAATGGATTCTGTAAGGATTTAAACCTTTTAAATGCAGAACAAAGTATCTAACTCAATATATTTCAGAATATATTGATACACACCACTAGTTCTTAATAGAAATATACACCATAATAGGATGGCAGAATTTCATTTCCAAACCAAAATTCAAACTTTGCCTTCAGAAAAAGTGCTAGCAGATAATTCATCTTTGTGTATATGTATATTTTGTACCTTTACCATTTTTTGCCGTATGTACGTCCATATACAAATAAAATCAAATGACATTACTTTAACTATTCCAAAATACTGAAAAAGCATGATACCTTTTAATGTCACAATTTGCTTTGTTAAATAGTAAATTTAGCAATAACCTTTAAAAAAACCACATTGTGGCACATGAGACGACCACATTCTCACATTTATAAAGATGATGATTCTGCTCTTTTACTAGCTCTGAAGATAATCCTTACATTTATTTGACCTTTACTCACATTATTTTCGACGCTGATGGAAAGGACTTAAATGATAATAAGGATTCTATATTTCTTTGAAATGTCAGTAGCCTCAAGATAAGAAGTTGCACAAGATGTCACTTAAAAACATTTTACAAAATATACAGGATTGCAGATTTGTCAACAAATTATCTGGTACAGAAGTGTCACACTAGGCTTTTATGGGTATACTGTAGGCAAGAGGGTTTAGGGCAAGTCATCAGCTGGATTGTATTTTTAAATCCATCTAAACATTCTTCTCTCCTTATCACTAAGTGAACAACATCAAATCTGAAGGAGCAGAATTTGTAACTATGAGCACTATGTAATTCTTTACAAAACTCAGTAAAAAAATGGAACTTTTCATTGAAGAAATATGTGATATATAAAGCAAGATTTAATGAACATTCCCTTTTTAAAAGTAGAAAAGCGCATTTTCCAATAACTTCAAATAGTAATAAAATCTATTTCTAGAATAGAATTTTGCTACATTACTGTAAAAATAATCAACTAAAAAGCCTTACAAGATTGGAAAATGAAGAAAGAACTGATCCATAGAATCATCAAGATTAGCATCATCAAAAAAAAAGTTTAAATCCTTGATCTTGTTTGCCAAATTCAATACACTCACAAATTCTATTTGCTTAAGGCTTTAGGACCCATATTAAATAAATATCCTTTTAACATATAAGCTTCCAGGATGTGCCAAGTCATATACTTCCTTAAATATAATACAAATAATTCATACTACAAGTATAGAAATCCTTTGCCATCTCACAAATGATAAAAAAGCCTTTTCACAACACAGTGTAAAAGAATGACAGCATGCCCTAGGTTTTCCCCAGCACAAAAAATATATATACAATTTTATGTATATTTTATTTGCAGTTATGTGTACCATACTTATAAATACAGTAGGGCATAAATGTGCCAGTTCTGTCCTATGAAATACATAAAACAGATTGAAAACCATGAAAATAGTAAGTCCCAGATGAATATTTTAGCAGTCAAAATTAGTATCTTATTCATAGTTTCAGTGTTATTCTCTGCAAGAAATTCATATTACCCGTATTCACTAAAACTCTTGATAAAAATGTTTACCATGAAATTATGCAACAATAATTCATCTTAGCTAATTATGATCGATTGAAGGGTTTGCCAAGCAACTTGTATATCTGTGATTAGTGGGATTTTAATAAAACACATGATTTCCATCTTAGACACGAAAGCTACACCTAAATTGTATTATAGCTTAAACAGTTTTATTAGATTAGTAAGTATCTTTATCTGAATTGTTTCAAGGAAAGAATTATAAAATTTATAGCATGACAAAGAATCTACCTTTTTTTAAATGTAGGCTTTATTTCATATCATAATTTTAAAAAGAGTTTAAAAATTGTGTAAGTAACTCTGAACAGCTCTAGCTGATCTAAATAGAATTGTTTCACTGGATTGGAGTCCCTGGTCCTGGAATGTTTTTGTCATGATCATAATCTGCAACTCCTTCCCATATTATAGATTATGCTTTTCAATTCAACAAATTCAAGGACTGAGAAAAAGGTTTCATACCTAGGACAAAAAAGCCAGTTTTAAACAGATTAAGTTTCAACATGTAAACAGCCTTACAATTAAACAAGGAAGAACTGCAGTGTACATTCACTGTAAATAATACATCAGGCCAAACCATACATTAATACAATCCACTTTGAACTAGTTTTTCAGTTGCTGATAGTATGATTCAGCATATTACACCAAACAATAATTATGACCCTTAATTTAGTACAAGAATGAGCATCCAATAGCCTGCCAATCATCTGTGGACCCCAAATTCCTTTTTGGAGACTTGCCATTGAATTTTGTTAATTAAGCTATCAGGGAATGGAAGTATGATCTCTCCCCATTGTTTACAGGGGGGAAAATATTAGGTTTGAGGTTTCTCTTAGGCTTAATACACTAAGGAAAGAAACAAAAACCAGATTCCAAAAACATAGTATCAGTATGAAAGCAGAGCACTGCTTGTCTATTACTATCTGCAGGTGATGGGCTGGCTAACCTTGCATTAAATCATGATTAATTAAAAATACACTAGCAAGAGTTCATCATGTATAGTTTATGTAAAAACAGCTTTAAAACAGAGTGTTATTAACATTAAAATAATATAAACATTGCACTTACCATGTAATTACTATAGGCATGATCAAACATTTCCTGTACTTGATTTCTGAAAAACAGATAAAACCAGAATAATTCAATTGTGCTCAAGTGAAAGATTTACTAGCAATATTTTTTCTTAATCTGCAGAGACTTTCCAAACATTTTGATGAACTGTTGGGAATTTTACAATAAGATGCAACAAACAATACAACTGAGCATTTATATAAAACCAAAATCTACACACTATTTCCATTTTATGAACATTTACTTTAACAATCCTAAGCTATGTAGCCATTTGTTATTATAAGAGAGCAATGATTCTTTATGAGATTATTTTTAAAAACACTTTTTTTTAACTTAATAGGAATTCAAAATGATTATATGAATGTAGATGTTCCAAAAAGAGATCCATGTACAGTATCTATTGGGCTTTCCAAGCAGATAAGATTCAATGCTAGTGTGATTTTTTTGTGCTAAGTTTTTTATGACAGAACTTAGTTCAGTTTAGCTGATCTCAAAAAAGAAAAAAAAAGTAAAATATGGTTAGCATTTAGAAGGACGATTACAGTAAAAAGAGATTTCAGGATAGTATGCTAGATTGAGAATTCAGAAGTATCCTGGAAGGGGGCAATCAATTCTGTACAGTTGCCAAGAAAATTACATGGCCATTTTCATGAAATCATGGGTTCAGATTCAAATGTGCATTGCTAACTCTGCTTAAATTTAAAAAATGTGCCAACTGAATACTGTTGTCACTATGTTTGTCATAAAACTCACTGAACCTATATGGGTATATAGCCGTGATGGCGAACCTGTGGCACGCATGCCAGAGGTGGCACGCAGAGCCCTCTCTGTGGGCATGTGTGCAGTTGCCAGCTGCTCTTCCAGTTTCCATCGTGCACATGCATGCTGGCCAGCTGGTTTGGCGCACATGCACACCGGCCAGCTGCTCTCTTCCGGGTTCCGGTGCACGTGCGTTCCAGTTTCAGCACTCAGTGCCAAAAAGGTTAACCATCACTGGTATATAGGGTATAACCATACATCTATCAATTTATATCTATGATTATGCAATAAAACATCAGACAATCTTATATACTTACATACTTATATATTTACTTTATTGAGGTATCTCAATAAAAAATGAAACATCTGCTTTTAAGTAAATATGTACAAAATTGTATATGGTTAAATAGTTCCTCGAAGAGGAAGTACCATTAAATAAAATAAGTCTATTTAAATCTTATGATGAAATCAAATACATTTTCATACCAAAGATAGGCTTTACTGAAATACTGCAATTAATAAAGCAATCAAGCCATGAACTATGAAATTCTTAATTTTAGAGCCCCAGAATTAATAAAAAAAATAGAATCCAAGTTCTATTTTTCATAAAGGCCAGAGGATTCCAGAAAGTCTAATGTTCTCCTAATGCTCTCAAAAAATGAAATTGTTTTCTGCCATAGGTTAAATTAATATTACGAGAGTTTTAAAAAAGTGAAATGTGCAAATATTATAAATGTAATGTGTAGGTGCATTCTTGATTATTAGTAGACACAGACATTGAAGGTATTTGCAATAGTCAGGTTCCTCAGATGTACATTTCTGTTGAACATGTGCACTTTTTGGTTTTATTCTATGAAACACCAGCATCTGATTTGCCTTATTTAGCTCACTATTTGCCATCATTTTAAAGTATCTGGTCTTTCAAAACAAAATACTGTTTGCACAGCTAACAAGATTATCCCTTAACAATGAACCTTTTAAAGTAATTATATTATCCACATAGCATTTCAGTTTACAGGGACTTCAACTGTCCTCAAAGGAGGTCAACAGCGAAGAAATAAATGTATTTCTCTGAGAAGTCCCAAAATTACTTTCAACTGTGGGATTCACTCCTCTTTGCCAATATCTGCTATATCACATATTATATACAAAATTCTGTATTAAGTACACTTGTGCCTTCTTATAGAAATATTAGAACCGCCATCATACTGCCATATATGATAAACACATGGAAAAAAACATGCGTCACTGAAAAGTTGATCAGCAAAACTCGCAATACCAAAATGAGCAAAAAAAAGTGTACCAACCCACCTACAAAAAGCAACAACAGAGAGATAAGAAGAAAAGTTCAACGAACTTACATAACTGAGCTTTTACTTTGTACAAACATCATTTTCTAGAATGATATCCATGCGTTTACGATCCTAGTAGCATATTTTAAACTTGGGGAACTGCATCTTTCAGTTTTAAAAAAAAGCCCTCTCCCATCTTTCTGTTCTCTCTCAATGACAGCATTTGTTTTGAACTGTTATTACTCACTTTGACTAACCAAAGTTCTTACATCCCTGCCTTGCTATGACACTCATCATTTCTAGACAGGGAAGTTTCACAAAATAGTGGTGGGTGGAGAAAACAATTCCTAGGGCATGGAGGTAAAAAAAAAAAAATCTAATGAAATACAATTTAGATTTTGAAAACCTACCCAGTAATAAATATATATTTATATATGTGTGTGTACAGTTAATATTTCGGGTTTCTTCTCGTGTAATAATATAAATCAAATTAAATCAAATTAATTGTGAACATATCCCTATATACATATATACCCGTGAAAACTTACATAGACATACATACATACTTACTTACTTACTTACTTAATTTATTTATTTAAATTTGTATACCGCCCTTCTCCCGAAGGACTCAGGGCAGTGAACAGCCAAAATTAAAATACATACAATATAAAATTTAAAATAATTTAAAAACAGGATTAAATCAAATTGGCTTCCCAAAAATTAAAACCCATTACCCTTAAAATAACCCATTAAAATTTTAAGCCAGCCCAGCTTGCTGAAATAGGAAGGTCTTCAAAGCTCGACGGAAGGTCCGGAGGTCCGGGATCAGTCGTATTCCTGGGGGTAGCTCGTTCCAGAGGGCGGGTGCCCCCACAGAGAAGGCTCTCCCCCTGGGGGTCGTCAGTCGACATTGCTTGACCAACGGCACCCTGAGGAGGCCCTCTCTGTGGGAGCGAATTGGCCGGTGGGAGGTTATCGGTGGCAGAAGGTGATCTCATAAATAACCGGGTCCTAAGCCATGGAGCGCTTTGAAGGTGAGAACCAATACCTTGAAGCGCACCCGGAAGACCACCGGAAGCCAGTGCAGCTCGCGCAGGCAAGGGGTCACATGGGAGTGCCATGTCGCCCCCATAATTCCCGCGCGGCCGCATTCTGGTAATATATTTATTGGCCAACTTTACATTTAAAAACTGAAATAAAAAAAATGAGCTGGGGTATCCTTCTCAGTCTGCCTCGGGGACAAGCTTGAAATCAGCCTGTGTCAGTCTGGTTAAAGACGACTTCAATGTAACTTGCTCGGTCTCCTCAGGCAGCCAAATGCAACCTACAAAAAGGAGCGGGACTTCAATCAGGACAGTGCCGGAAGGGAACCTTAGAGGTCTTCTAGTCCAACCATCACTCCTTCCTCGAGCTACGACACAATATGCTCCCACGGTTCGCAACCGGGCCAACGGCATCCTCGCCAAGGTAGGCTCGGCTGCGGCACAGAAAAAAGAAGAAAAAGAAGCGGGCGACGGGGGAAAAGCGCTCTTACCCAAGATGACGCTTCTCCTCCCGGCTCATCGCCTGCACAGCCGGCGCTGCTGCCAACACCGAAGAAGCGGAGAGGAGGCCCAAAGCCAGCAGTTTCCAGCCGGACCAACGGCCTGCCAGGCGGTTGCCGCTCCTTCCCTCGCCCCCAGCTGCTGCTCCGCTCATAGCGGCAGCTGCCCCGCTAGGCCCGGTTCTGTCCCATCCCTTCAAACAGCGCGGCCGCCACCACAAGACGAGGGACCAGCCCTTCGCTCGCCTCCTCTAGCTCGCTCGCTCTCTCTCACCCTCCCTTTCTCTGGCGTAGCCAAGGAAACCGGAATTTTGCCGCTAGGTTGCTTCCGGGTTCCCTTCCGGTCGCGCGACACGCCGCTGCCCGCGGCCCAATGAGATCCAGATTTTGTATCACCTGACCGTACGTTATTCCTCCCTCCTCCCTCCCTCCCTCCCGGATGCAGTGATACGTGGAACAAACGGGCGGGCTACCTCCTAACCTGGACGTGGCTGTCGCACTCTCAACAAGATAAGGATTTGCTCTAGCGACCGCTCTTTCTCTCTCTTCTCTCTTTCCGTCGAAATACGTAATTTCCGGCTTCATGTTACACATGATCCACGTTTGAAAAATTGTGCCCAGGGCTGAATTTAGAACGCCCCACCACCACACACAATACATTGAATGTAATTACAGGGGTCTCCAACCTTGGCAACTTTAAGCCTGGCGGACTTCAACTCCCAGAATTCCCCAGCCAGCAAAGCTGGCTGGGTGAAGTCCGCCAGGCTTAAAGTTGCCAAGGTTGGAGACCCCTATAATAGGGAATCTACCTGCCCCGAGATGTCGGGCATTTTTGTTATATCAGAGGTGTTCGTGATGTCCTGATCAGACAGGGAAAGAAGGGAGGCTTTACGGAGGTCGGAATCGCGGCGATTTCACGTTGATTTGATGCTCGGAGCCACGACGGCTTGATGGACGCTACTCGGCTTCGGAATAGAGAATGTGATCGTGGCGAACCTGCGCGGCTCGGAGTTGGGCTTTTAGAAGCTTCCCCGAGCGGACGTTCTGTCCCTTACTTACGTCGCAATACCAGGGCTGTGACCTTGAGAACGGCCCGTTTCAGGCTCATACGGTAGCACTGAAGTTGTCGCCCAGGCTTAGTGACACACCTCCATTTTTTTTTTTTTTTTACCAAGTTAAAAAAATAAAAATCTGCGTTCAAATCGAATTGTTCGCTTTCTGCATTTTCTTTGTCTGGGTCATCATCCTTCCCCCCCCCCCCTCCATACAGTAACAGTAACAGAGTTGGAAGGAGGGGCCTTGGAGGTCATCTAGTCCAACCCCCTGCTCACGCCGCCGAGTTTTCTGATCGACAAGCTCAGTGTCTTAGCCACTGAGCCACTTAGTCAGGCTATGGTCCTCTATATCTATCTGCAGTTGAACCTGATGCTTTGCCAATCGGATAAAGAGATATATCTCTTAAGCTAATGCCGAGATGGTAGTATGGAACGTATCCTAAGCATCTTCGTTATATTTGCTGCAACCAACAGGCATGACCTCCACCAGGAATCAGTGGGGGAAATGGTTGTTTCCTGTTCTCACTCAAATCTTTAATATTGCTTTTAATTTTTGAAAAACAGTTAGAGCATCGTTTTTTGCCGTAGTCCCTCAATTTGCATATTTATTTATTTGTATCCCATATTTTTTTACAAAAAAACCTCAAGACAACAAACATATCCAACACAATTTTCTCTTCCTATTTTGCCCAGAACAACCACCCTGAGAAGTGGATTGGGTTGAGAATGACTGGTTCGAAGTCACCCAGCTGTCTTTCATGGCTAAGGTATGATCATATTCATGGTCTCTCACTTTCTAGTGCCTTAACCACTGACTAGACTAAACTGGCTTATATTGGAAGTTGCAGGATTACAATTAGAGTGGACAGAAGAGAGAATTGATAGGAGTTGACAGATATTTCTATCAACCCCGTCATTTCAAATGACTGAATTCCTGGGATTGGAGAGCAAAATACTTTAATACTCAAGTCACAACATTGCTATTGTTCTATTCTTTCCTTTGGCAGTTTATTATCACCGTTCAGAAAATTTATCTGCCTGCCTGCCTACCTCCTATCTATCCTCTCTCCCTCCCTCCACCTGTCATTAGTTCTTGTTATGTAACCAGCCCATTTCCATTTCAATTCCCCCTCTTGATTATATTGTATACTTTAGTTTATTTTCTTAACCATGTGCAGGTCTTTCTATTTTGTCTTGTAATGCCGAGCATGTATCTTTCCATGTATCTATGACCAAGGCAGTCATAGAATGGATCCTACTTGATAAAAAGTGTCCACTAAAGAGACATAAAACAAGATGGATCGATGACATCAGCAAATATTGTGGGCCCAATTGGCAAAAAAAGCTCAGGATCTTATTGGTTGGAAAAATGCGGAAGAGGCCTTCTTCCTGTAGTGGATAGAAAATGGCTAAAATGATGATGATATCACATATATCTAGTAAAAAGCAACCATGTTCTAAAATTTTAAATATATACCCATAGAAATTACAGGTCATAAAAACAAACTGTTGTATTAGCTACTGCTTTTATATCCAAGGTTTAATCACATTAAATAATTGTAATTCAAGTTCTGCCAATCTTCCGCAAGCAGAAGAAAATAAGTTTTATGTTTCTGAGATTGCCAGGATTCTAGTATAAACAAGGCAACTTTTAGACAAAAGCATGACGTAAGAGTCTTCAGTTTGAAGCCAACATCACAGTAACAATTTCTGTTGTAAAACAGGACCATGGGAATTTGGGAATCAACAAGACTTGGGCACATTCTCTCGAAAACCTCCAGAAATGTTCTTATCATTTTCATTGTGGTTAAAAAACCTCTTATTAGGTAATTTTTAATTAAATGGAAATGAAATCTAATTTAGATTTTTAATCTCTGCTGTCTATGTGTCCTGTTTCTTGTGGTGTTTTGGACAAAACAGGCTTGTTCTGGAACCAAGGACTGTTTCTAATTTTGAAGTTTAATCCTGGAAAAACCAGCAAACCACTTGCATAATGTATCTAATCAAGGTCTCAGTCCTTCAGGCATGCCAGTTAAAGGCAAAGTTACCATCTTTGCCATGCCAGCTATCAGGAAATGCAACAAAGGCAACCAAAGGAAAATTGACTTTGACTGGGGGCTTTAATGCCATGGTGGCACAGGGGTTAGAATGCAATATTGCAGGCTAATTCTGCTGACTGCCAGCAGTTCGATCCTGACTGGCTCAAGATTGATTCAACTTTCCATCCTTCCGAGGTCAGTAAAATGAAGATCCAGATTGTTGGGGGCAATTTACTGCTTAGAGAGGGCTGTGAAGCACTATGAAGTGTATATATTTCTAAGTGCTATTGCTATTGCTATTTTGAGGGACGGGGAGGAAAGGGAATGGGAAAAAAGCCAAGAAAGTAATAGTCATTTTTTTAGATTTATCTCCAAGATCATCTGAACTTGATTCTCTTTAGGCTTATCCAGGCTTTGGAGAGACAAAGGAACTATTGGTAAAAGCAGCTGCATTCAAATATTTCTTTTTTAGACTTTAAAAAGAAAATATATTGATCAAGTTCAACATCACTTGAAAAGTTAGAGAAATTGTTTTTATTTGCATACAGATGTTATTGGAGCCCAGATAAATTACAAGGAACTAAACCCAGGTACTCTGAGCAAAATTGGAAAGGTGGTAATCTTGCTTAAAAGCCAGGTGCTGCCTCTGACACACCAATGTAGTGTTTGATGTGAGGAATAAAGCTTATATTTAACCTAATTATCAGTTTATTACAGCAGTCTACAACATGCTGTAGAAAGTGTGAAAACTGGCCAATTCATATATTGCTTCATCTGTGTTCCCACATACTTCATAAGAGTTGGTTAGATATGTGAACTGCAAATTCTGTTTATTTCTTTGAGTAAAGCACAATACTTGATAAAGTACAGAAGCCCCAATTCAAGTATTAGATTGTCAAAAGATTTACAAAGTAACACAGTCCCCCTCTCTACACATTTCTTGGCATGGCACAATGAGGCAAAACATTTTTTTCCCGTTTGTTTTGTTCCCATGTTGTTTCTTTACCTCAGCAATTCAGAAAGGCGGCAACCTTTACCCACCCTTAGCAATGCTGGTATAAAGTGCATTTCCTTCCCCCCACACATACACAATATGCTAATGTAGGAAGCTCACCCCCCACCCCGAATGAAATATTTTGGGGAACATTAAAATATTTCCCCAAAGGAGAAATGGAGAAAAATCTTAACAAAGGCAGAAAGCAGCCCCAACAGCCTCCAGCAGACACCTGAAGTCTTTAGAGATTGATATTTTGTGCCCATTAAGAAAGACTGGGCCAATCTATTCACAAACAAAACACTTTCAGCTCCGGTTGATGGGATTAAGAAGGACAGGACATGACTTTTGGGACATAATAGGATTAACCCACCCACCATTAGAATAGCAAAAGACATGAAGCTCACTACATTGCACCCTAACCCTAACCCTGGAGCAGGGGTGAAATCCAACAAGTTCTAACAGGTTCTGGAGAACCGGTAGCGGAAATTTTGAGTAGTTTGGAGAACCAGCAAATATCTCTGGCTGGCCCCAGAGTGGGGTGGGAATGGAGATTTTGCAATATCCTTCCTCTGCCACGCCCACCAAGCCACGCCCACAGAACGGGTAGAGAAAAATTGTGGATTTCACCCCTGCCCTGGAATATTTCAAACACAAAACCCCCAAGAATGTATAAAAGCCTACCTATCCCAATCCCATTTTGTCAGCTGTCCCAGAACTACATGCTGTTGTTGGTTCTGCTCATCAATAAACAGAGTCCTCCTTTTCAATCAGCCTCAATTTTATTTCCAGTGCCTTTCTCCTGGATTGGAACCAGACTGGATTTGTCTTCCTACAGTAACATCATCCAGGACAGAGTCAAGATACAAGTTCTCTTATGCTTCATTAGCCATTATCTTAAAGCTAAATCAGATAACCACACCAGGAAGGTGTGTTGTTTTAATGTTAGGAAGCATGGGTGTAACCTTCCTCTCATGTTACTAGCCAGCACCCATTCTAGTCATCATTTTTAAACAACCTAAAGAGATTGCTGAATAAATAGGAATCCCTCAATTTTTCTCCAGTTTAAAAGCTAAAAGACTAAATTTGTACGTGGGATATATTTCCTAAATTGTTATTTTCCCTTTTTGTCTTCCAAATATTTCCACCATTTACTTTCATAGCTTCAGTCCTGCACTGTATTCATTATCTCAAAATTAGGTGTTTGTATTTATGATCTGTATATTTGTCCTTATGCAATGGGTTGCCACTGTAATCGGCAAATATGATAATCAGTGGGATTTTGTAAATACCTAGCAACCCCTCCACCCCCAAATAAGTCCCAAACCTCTTTTGATGAAATGCACAATGTGAAAGATTAATATTTTATTTGTAAACGTGCAGTTGAATAAAGTTAACCACATTACATTGTGTTTGTAGTTCTTTTAGTCAAGTTGATTATTCAAATGAAATATGTACACATAAAGAATGTTAAATGATATCTGGAACATTCTATGCATAGGAAAAAAATCATCAACATATGAAATTAGATCTAATAGATAAAATTATATCTAATTTTAAAAAGTCTCAAGAGAAGAAACTTTCTAAAAAGATTATTTCCTATTAAATACTCAAATCTTCAAAATGAGAAAAAAGGAATATGCTTATTTTAAGACTATAATCCTAAATATATCCTCTTAAGGCTCAACTGCGAGCAATTGGAACTATTACAAAATAAAAATAATTCAGATTTAATGATAAGTAAATATTTAGATCCCTTGTTTAAGGAAACAAGTATGTATTATTAATCATAAGCACATAGTCAATTTTTGAAAGAAAATGGTAGACTTGCATTAATTTTATCTCCATTTTATGAAATCTACTAGAGCTGGACATGCTTTAAAAATAACGCAGAAAATATATTTTGGTAGATAGGGAAGCATAAGCACAGCATTGCTCTAGAACAGCTAAATTATTTTTCAGCCTCCTATGGAAACCTGAAAAAAAGCTTGCTGCTTGAAAGAGGTGTTATGCCTGTCCATGCTCCATTGCACCTGTACCAAGTCATTTTTTAAAAAATATAAAGATCCAACACATCTTTCTTAAGATCTCATGTTATATTCAATAAACAAAGATCTGCTTCTACGTCAAATACTATAGAATGGAGGTTAGGAAACATATGAAAGCATATTGTGAGAATAGGAGCACAACATAGATTATTATTTTCAGTATAAATGCCAAGTTTCTTAGAACATCATAAAGATGCTCTATTTCTGAAATAATATTCACCACTGCTTTAAGAGTCATGCAAGTTGACTCATTAAAGCAGCTGCATGTTTTTTTAGGCTCACCTATGAGCTTGGAAAAAATGAATAGTGGCAGTAATTAATAGTTGTAGAAGATCATTTTCTGAAATATCAGGATGCTAAATACTGGTTCATCATGTACAGGCTATGGCTATGCAAACTTTGAAAACAATTCAGAAGGAATGTTCATCGTACCGCTACTATTAATTACTGCCACCATTCCTTTTTTCAACCTCAGGTGAGCCTTAAAAAAAAGATGCAGCTGCTTTAATGAGTCAACTTACATGACTTAAAGCAGTGGTGTCTTTTTCAGACTTTCAGAAATCTGAGAAAAAGATATGAAAGTTTTAAGCGGAAACAGAGAGGAACTGTATTTCTACTCACACAAGCTCTGCAATATTTCTTCCAAAGTGGTTTTGGCATATATGGTTAATATCAATATAGAATCTATACCTAAATAGAATCTTCCTATGTTGTTAGGCAGTACTCTCCAAACAGTTTGGACAATAACTCCTATAATCTCTGATTACTCATGATAATTGTCCAAAATGCTGGCATTTACTTGAGTCCATATCCTAACTCTTTTTTTAAAAAAACAAGTTTTATTATGTCCTTTACTCTAATGCTTTGATTAAATGTTTACTTCCAACATAGGAATATATTCAGTCTAAGCATTCTTTTTAAAAACAAACAATCGAAAAAGACTTGAATATCTAGATGTGAGGATATGTTTCCTATTCAAGGACAAATACTAAAAGACTGGAATAAATGTAATTCTATATATTGTATTGCAAAGAGACAGGAGATAACTGGTATTGTGTATAGATAACTATTCAGCTATAATATTTTGCTGCATTAGTACCTTTTAATTCTTTTTTAAACTTATACTGTGAGAATTAAAATGGCAATACCTGAAAATGGCAAGTGCAACCAGCCAATGAAAATCTTGCGCTGTTTTCATATGTTTTTATCCGTGGCCTGTCAGACTCCTGAATGCAACATAACATCATAAATATGTAGTATGATAGACTTGCAGGGCCAGCACAACATTTTCATAGTGGTGCAATATATTATGATGTAATATTATGCACATATATGTATAGATAGAGGATTGTGTGTTGTTAGTATGATTTATTGGATTAGGGATTTTCTTTCTTTCACTGTGAGTTATTGATATGTATTTATGTTGGGGGAGTGCACGAAGGGAGGCTCAGCCAATCTCATTGTACACATGTTGTGCATTGACAATAAAGGTTGAATTGAATATGTGTTGCATGCACTGCACACAGGTAGAAGAGGGCAGGGTTTTGATTACCTACGGTAGTTGTACCTCTTCCCATTTTGAAGCAGTGGCTGTTACTATGAATGTTCCTGATGCTTGACAGACATTATTTCTGAAGCAACACTAATAGCAGGAATTAAATATTTAAAATCTCAAATTAATTCACATTGTAATGTAACTATGACAAAGATTAGCAACTAGAGACTTTAGGGCTAAATCTGCCCTCTTTGCCTTTTCCCAGTTGTCAAATAATGAGAAATCAGTTGAGAGTGGTAAGTGCTGCCTGTGACAAGTGTAGAACTAACTGGTGACTAATTGTTTCTATTATTTTGCTAATCTGCCATCATTCAACTTTTTTCCCAGCATGCACAGTGAAGCTCTATTGTTGTACAGATCAAATCCTAAGTGCGCTTTTTTCTGTTGCACGACTAACAGCAAGGCGACATATTTTACTGTTCTGGATCTATAGGAAATGGAGAAATGTAGCCATAAATATTCTTTTCAGTTTATAACACCTCTGGGATATAGGATGCTAAATGTATAACTGACAGAACATGCTATCAATTATTCCAACATGTTAAAAAAAGAGATGTAATTATGCAAATTTATTTAATGTTTTTTTTATTTCATGCACTGAACTGAAATAGAATGATGGCTTATCATCAAAATAATTGCCTATGCAATTAAAAGGTATTTGTGCAGTTTAGAGTTCAAAGAATTATAATCTAAAAATATTTTAGTTCTCAGGATTGTGAACAGCAGTTAGAAAACAGGATGATGAAATCTGAGCAATGAGTTAGTAAATTTAAATAGTAATTTTGTGGGAACGTTTTCAAGCAGCCAAAAGCATAGTAGTTGTTCTCTGCTCTAGCTGGAGAGTTCTCTTCCTGCCCAAAATGAGTGCCAAATTTATTATTTTGTGGTTAATATTATCTGCAGCTGCTCTGGAATCTGCTAATGCAGCTAATTGCAAACTTTTAAAATTGTTTTACAATATGTGATTAGTTATTCAGATTGTGGCACTTACTTTTAATAAATTAATTAACTTATTTGCCTTTGCTCTCAATTTTAAACACTGTACTTTGTGGCCATCTGCTAGCAGTTCAACCAGTCTTACTGCAGTGGATTTCCCTTTCTCCTATTCCAGGACACGAGTCAGAAAAAAAATAATTCTAGTCAGGTAAACAAAAATTAGTCTTAGCCCTTAGAATGCTCTTTTCAAATTGAGAGTCAGAGGAGTGGAGTTATAAATGCCCTGTCCTACTCTGGAAGAGTCACTGAATATCTGAAGCCCTCTTGTTTGTAGACATAAAAAGGAAAATAGGCAGGCATTATTCAACTATGCTGTACATGAACAATTAAAGACATTCTGGTTTCCAGTCTTCTAGCCAAATTAGTTCAAGAGCTTTGGACTGATCCAATGGCTTACTACTACTTCTTGTCTCCTTAATTAGCACAATCAGAATAAATGATCTCAAATAAATAACAAAGAAATAGTCTTACAGATGCAGAACTTGTGCAGGAATAGAATTCAATATTAGGAAAATGGACTGCCACAATACTGAGGTCTGAATTATTAATTATTGGCTGGCTTGCTTCTGTTTCATTTTTGTGCATGGCACAAGTTACAGTAAAAATTTGTCATTCCCTTTGAAAAAAAGCAGGTATAAAGTGCTCCGCAGAGGGTGTAGAAAAATAGGATAGAAAAATCTGTTCCAATTATTCTGGTAAATTTTAAATATAGCAACAATAACAATGGTAAAAGAAGAGAAATTAGTTCTCTCCATTCTCAAAATATCTGCCAAAGCTTTTAAGTACAAAAACAATAATATACTTATGAAAATTCAAAACACTATGTACAATTGTGTTCCATAAGATTCCAGTAAGATAATTTTACTATTACTTCTGTTAAAGATTTGCTTTCCTTTTTTCTTTATTATCTATCACACAATATTTTTTTCTCTCTTGCAACACCTGATTTTAGCACTTCCTTCTAAATTTTACTGAGAGTTACTGACACCTCATCCACAAATAGATCGCTCATTGTCCATAGGGCAATCAATATTCCCAATGAACTGTGTTTTCAAAAAAATAGGAGAAGCTAAACATTCTGTCAAGTTATAACTGGTAGTTTGCAAAATTCTTCACCACTTGAGTGATGATTCTTTCATGATTCACTTCTGAATGAGTAAGTGACAAGAAGCAGCAACTGGCAGAAGAGTCTTATTCAAACAATACAATTTTTCAGGAAGCCACAGGTTCAAATTAAAAGTTGGCTCTCAAGTAGGTTGTGAATTTTGAATAAGTCTCTCCATTCTAGTTTTAAGGAAAGTAATCATAACTTGGGCTCAGGCTTTAAATTTACAAAATTCTATTTTGTAAGTGGTTAATCAGAACAGTCGCCCTCAGTATTTTTTTCAACTTTCATCACTTTTAATTATATCTGCAGCATCCATTTCCAGCAAGGACTCACCTGCTTGTTAAGAATCACCCCCTTGATCAAAAGTGACATTTTCGGAGTCCATGCTTACCACATTGTTAACCTCAGTTTCTTTTACTTCTAAGGAAACTAGCAGAGGGGGTGCCTCAATGTTTAAAGATTCTGTATGCAACATGCATTCTTGAGTTTCAACAGAACAGCTCAAGAAGGGTGATATCTCTGTTTCCCTCTGGACAGATTGCAGAAGGGACAATTCTGCTTCCTGAGAATCTGCTTTAATACATTGTCCCATTTGAGAATGATCTTCTTTTGGAAAAGAATGGAGAGAGGAAAATTCTTCTCTTATCTGGTCAGGTTGTTCACCTTCAGCATGCTCTGTTTGTGACTTCTGTTCTTCAGACACAACATCATGGGGTGAAGGGTCTATTTTACTCTGGTCAGATTGATCGCTTTCAGTAGATGGCGCTGTTTGAGACTGGTCATATGTACCATCGTTCTTTTCATCTGGGTGTGCGATGTTTGGCTCTGTATTCAACTCTTCTCTTGAGATATCACTGGGACTCTGTTTTTCAGACGTTTCAGAAGCATCCTGATGAATTATGATGTTTGTTTCCCCAGAGCTACTTACTAGATTTGTATCATCTGCTTTTACAGTGGGAGAAAAGGGCTTCTGCAAATCACCTGTTTGATGGTCCTCTTTACTCTTTTCTTGTACTTCTTCCTTTGGGTTTGACATTCCACACTCCTGTAAATCTTGCTCTTTGTTTGTAGACTGTTCATATTCTTTCAGTTCAACAGTCAAGGTCAACAAATTTCTAATTTCATTCACATCGTCATGAATTGGAAGCTCTTCTTCTTCTGCTGTTCCTTTATTTTGTTTTATTGTGATTTCACTGGCATTTGTGATTGGAAAGACTCCCTCTACAACAGTAAGTATTTTTGGACAAGATTCACTGCCACCAAAATCTGAAATTATTATCCCCTCTTCTTCTGTCTTCCTAGCCTCATCACATTCCTCTTCTTGATGCAGTTTTTCTGTTAAGAAAACTTCATAACTTCCAAGGCCAGCATCTGATTCATCCATCAAATTGGGGGCTGGTCCTCTAGCTGGGCTAGCCTGTGCTGATTCTACAGGAGTTTTTAGATCACTCAAACTGGACACGCTTTCAGAAGGCAGGTTTATTTCCTCATACAGATTATGTTTCTTCAGATGGACTGCTTCTTTTATCACTAAGCAAGAGATGGACAGAAAAAAACAAACAGAGAAAAGATATTCAGCCATAGAATAAGAGCACAGAAACATGTTGAGAACAAGGCAATATTATCTTGGAAGAACTAAATGGAGGAAGAGTCTCTTCTAAAATCATCCATAAAGTTAATAAAGCACCTTCCTCAATCCTGTATCCCCAAATGTATTAGTCTTCAACTCTGACAATGCCCAGTGAAGGTATAGATAATATATTTTGATTTTTCAACCCTGTTTTAAACCTATTGGTTTTTTGGAAGAATCCAAAGACTGCTGAATGAAAAAAGATCAAGGTAAAACTTAAAACTCCTTGAATTAATCAGTTCATTTTTATACTTGCCAAGACAGATTAATATGAATCTCAGAAGAAACAAAGTTACCTTTTAAGGATTCATCAAGCAATGTTTGAAACAATATTTCTTCATAGACATTTTCAACTTGTATCAAACTGTTATATTCAGCAAAGATGTACTGTTCATACTCCTGAAGCATCTACACAACAAGATACAATTTAAAGTAATAATGGCTAATTAGAAAATAACACATTTACAGAAAAAATAATAAACTCTAATATAAGTGAGGTTTATTAGAATATCTGAGAGTAAAGGTGTCTTAATCTATCTCTGCAACAAGATGAATTTCATTGGGAACTGCCACAAGTAAGATCCTCAGACACTGGAAAGACAATGTGGTTTGCAAAAATATTATGAGTACAGGATATTGGTAATTTCTTCATTTACTAGGAAAACAGATAGATTCTTAATTTTTTTTTCTAATCACTCTTTGATGCACCAAGAATGTGGCTATCAATTTTCTAAATGGGTAAAATTTTATCCAAATTGATTTAAAAAATCATGCAGCCTTTTGCAAACTGCCCTCCTCTTTCTCAAGCTCTGAGAACTCATTGCAAGAAGATGTTACAAATACTATGTACATGTTTCTGTCTTTCCATCTGTTTTTAAAATATCTCACTCTTACATATATCTGTTTCTTAACAGAATGTCCATAAGAAGAACTGCATGAATTAATTTTTCAAGTAAACATAACACATGCTTTATACACGGGATTATATAAATTCTAACTCATTTTTATACTGTTTCCCTGAAAATAAGACCTCTCCTGAAAATAAGACCTCCCCTGCAAATAAACCCTCCCCAAAAATAAGCCCTCCCCCGAAAATAAGCCCTCCCTGAAAATATTTAACCGCATGCACAGCCAGTCCCTGCCATTTCCTCTGGTTAGGGTTGGGGAGACAAAGCTGGAAATCAGGTAAGATGGCAAGAGGATCCCCATCTCTCTCCATGTGCCCCAAAATAATAAGACCTCCCTGAAAATAAAGCCAAGCTTTATTATTTTGGGGTTCAAAAAAAAATATAAGACAGGGTCTTATTTTCGGGAAACATGGTAGGTATAATATGCAAGGAGTTCTTTGCAACACCTTATCATTTTGCCCAAAGTAACTTTTAATTATCTTTTAATATTTCAGAAGAATACAGATCCTCTCCAAGGTCCCCTTCAATTCTTGTATCTTATGATTTGTTCTAAAATGAGAATATAATCATATCCTGCACCCAATATATTCCTTGGGCTGTAAAAAAAAAAAGACTAGCTTTTTTATTATAACCTTGGAGTTTTAGGAAGAGAGCTAGGTTTAAGAAAAACTTGTCATATGTAATCTAGATCTGTGAAAATCAACAGGATTTAAACGAATTGGCCCTAAGAATAACTAAGGCCAATTCCAACTTATTGTTGCTGTCTTGTCTCTATTATTTCATTTCCACAGACTTTAAAATTAAAGAACCATTCCCTGCTGACATTATTAGCATTTTCGTTTTGATTTCCAAATCCTTTTGAGTCATATATGTCAGTATATTAACCTACCGGTTTACATGTTGAAGCCAATGTCCGCTGCAGTGTGGGCAGAGTGATCTGGATCAAGATATCCTGAAATATCCTCTTCCGGATAGTACTGCTGTCATAATCATATTGCTGCCATATAAATTGTGTAAAAAGAAGAATCAGGTGTGAGATTTTGGAGAGCCAAACACCTACTTCCCAACTTCCTCCCCTGCTAATGTACACTAAAATCAAGCATAAAGCCAATAACTATCTCTATTCCTTCATATTTATCTGTAGGATCAGAGCCAAATTTGATGTCATCATTTTTATAAATATATAATTTTTACTAAGGAAGTTTTCAACAGAATAAAAACAGTGCTGCAATTTAAAAATCGGAAGATAAAAAAAAAATAAAGAAGTAATAATGAGAGAAATAGAAAAGAAAAATAAAGAAAAAGAAAGGAAAGTTACAAAGATCTTAAGAAGGTAGGAAGTTGCTTCTTTGTAGCAAAATTGGAATAAACTTATTTATTCCTAGTGTGTTTATTCGTTAATTTATTCATTCATTTATTCTCAATATTAGATCCAACTAGATATATGGTATTGTATCAACAATAAAATACACACATGCCTTTTATGTCATCATTCTAAAATGTGCCTCTATGGGTGTCTGGGTTACAGTTCCCAGAATCCCCAGCACATCTAAATACATCAGGTTAGTGAACTGTCAGCCCTACAAGGGTAGAACCAGACCAGGCAATAACTCAGTGGAAAATTCACAGTTACTTTTACTAAGATTGGCTATAGTAATGTAAAACTGCAAGTCTGATTATGCTCCCTCTATTGTTTTAGGGAAGTCTCTGCAATGTTTGCACACACTTTCTACAAATCCCAAACTTTATCTTTGTTTTCTCCCTTTCTTTCGCACTATAACATTTCCCCTTTTCTTCTTCAAATCCATTCTCTTTATCTCTACATCAGTTCAAATTTGACTAATCTTGAAAATCTTAGGAAAGATGGAAATGGCTAAGTACTTCAGTGGGGAAACCATTAGGAAATATCAGAATTATAGATTGGGAAGTTTTAAAAAATGCAAAAAAACCAGTGGGAAACTATTTCTGTATTATTGCCAAGAACATTACATGGACTTGTCCGTTAAGACCTCCAAGAATCAAGTTTGATTTCAACAAGACTTTTTATTTTATACAGTGGCTTTCTAAAAAGCAGATTTCTATTTAGTGACAACTTGGTTTGCTCTGAACTCCATATCCAAAATTCTGTATTTCAGCCAACCTCTACCAGGACACTCTGGAGTGTATTTAAGCTTATCAACAGATATGAAGGGGAATTGGAAAAATAGTCATCTGACCTTCCATAGTGTAGCATAGGATGGAAATTCAAAGGCATACATATATATACTTTCTATATTTGCTGCTCACTTTGTCAATTCTCTCAATTATTTTTGGTAAAAGTGACATTAGGCCCATGTTGCACACAAATATATGATAGTATATGTCCATTCAGGATTGAATTAGAAGTCAGACTTCTAATTATTCAGAAAGTCAACTTCAGATATACTAGTTAATGCAACTCAGACTCCATATAGAAATACATTTAAATAGGATGTAATGCATATTTTGCCTAGCAAGAACAAACCCAAGTTTCCCCTTCCTTCAGTAAGTCCTTAATGATTTCAAAATGGTAGCTGTTCTACTTTTTATTTGTCTCAATTTCCAAATTTCAATTTTCAACTTCTTCCCCTTTTAGATGTATCATTAAATTTATTTTCTTACAAAAGCAGCACTACTCAAACAGGTCTACTGTGTTTTTAATATATTATCATGATCACCATAATAATAACTTTTATTTGCGGTCACAGACCAAAATACAAGTATAATTGCAAAAGAACATGGTGAAAGTAACATCATAAACAGTTGGCTATCATGATCACCATTCTCTCTATCAACATAACACAGATTAAAGACATACTATTACAAATATGTGATATTTTACATCTAGACAATTCAAATAATTATCTGTATTTTTCATTAACAGAAATACGGAGAAAATACCTTGTTTGGCATTTGGATTTTATAATGAACATTATAACCCAACATTCCTACTTTGAGAACAAGCAAAAGAAATAAATACTTCACCTTAAGAACACGAAGTTTGACTTTTTCTATGGCTGTTGACATTTTGGTGATGTCTTTGGAGTGATTTAAACCCAGTAGCTGCTCAAATGTATATACTGCATTTTCCAGAATCTAAAAACAGATAAAAAATAGTTGCCTTATTTACTTTCTTGCAGAGGTCCATCTGCCACTCAGTTTTTTCTCTTTGTCAACGTCTAGTTACTTTATTTGTACATTGAAATATTTATTTACAAGACATGTTGGCAATGTTTTTTATTCTTATTGCAAATATCTTTGTCTTTATGAATTATTCCATGAATTGGTTTGTACACAAAGTTATAATGCAGGGGTTTTTTTTTGTTTATGTTAGTACATTATATGAACCCAACCCATGTATTAGATATTTTACATCATGCTCAAGAAACTGTGGCTTAGCATAATCCACAACCCATGGTTTATATCATCAGAACCTTGCAAATGGGAGTGAATCTACCTGTCAGCGTTCCAGAACAACCCAACTTCATGACTATGTGATTCAGAGATTTGATTTAAGGGGTCTTATATCTCTAAAGGGAGTTCTAACTTGCATTTGGAAATCCAAATCATTAGAAATCAAGAAAGGGGTAACCAAGTATTGGTTGGCAAGTAATCCAAACCAATATTAAACTCCTCAGAAGATCGGCCTGCATATTGCTGATGGTCAAAGTATATATGAATCCTTATCATACCTCCTGCATTACATTATGTGTCCTCTGAATAACCAAGTCAATGTTGTGGAATTTGAAGCGGGTCTTGAGATCCTGAAGTTGCTCTTGAAGAAAATTGACTTTTAGATAGCAAGGCTCCATTTTGACAGAGTCGTGCGGCAGGTTCATCAGGTGATTCACATTCTGTCAGAAACACAAATTGGGAAGGAAGTAGATTTTCCAGTAGTGGTACATTTACTATCCCTATAAGGGCCTGGTGGCTCAGCAGACTGATAGCATTGTGATTAACACCAGCTGTCTGCAATTACTGTAAGTTCGAATCTCACCAGGCTCAAGGTTGACTCAGCCTTCCATCCTTTCTAAGATAGGTAAATTTAGGACCCAGTTTGTGGGGGCAATAAGCTGACTTTGTATAAATGTACAAACGTATGAAGGCTATTGCTTAATGCATTGTAAGCCGCCCTGAGGCTCCGAAGAAGGGCGGCATATAAATCAAATTAAAAAAAAAATTCAAAAATTAGAAGGTTGTATAACCTGGTAGTTACACAATTACAGCAGCCCTTGGTGTCATATGGTAAATGAGAAAGGTTTCTGGAGTTCTGCTGGCATTCCTCAGTAAAAAGGAATGATTAAGCTATCATGGAAGGAAAGGGAAGGCAATTCTTTCCGAAGGCAATTCCTGAATTGTATCCTCGTGTTACATGGTTGACTAGTGTCTTCTGCTGTGCTGCAGTTTATCTATATTATCTATATATTATCTACATTTAAAAATTACCTATATTTTTTGTAGGCTGTTTTGTACAATATTTTTTTTCCTTTCAAACATGTTGTTTCTGAGATTTTCAGGGGAATTTGATTGTTTAACAATAAACAAAAATATGACAAGTCCAGGTTATGGAATGTAGTTTACCAACTTTTATAATCCTGCTCTATACATTTCGGGTGAGACAGGTTCTTATTTTTAATGTAAAGATAGAAACTAAGAGGTACCCCAAAAGGGGGTGAAAATTTAGGTGCGTCTTATACACCGAATGTAGCCCTGCCCACCTACTGGCTCCCCCCACTTTTTGGCCTCTGCCTCCCAGCAATTACCTCCTTGCAAGCAAACAGCAAGAAAAAACAGCCCCATTCAGCTTCAGCATAGGCTAATTAGCACAAGTTGATTAGATCAGCCTCCCGACTCTCAGCTGATTTGCTCTCAGCTGTTTTGGGCAGGCTCTTTTGCAAGCTCTTGTTTTGCAAGCTCTTTGCTTGCTGCAAAGAGTGCTGGAGCAGATTTTTTTTTTCCTAGCTAAAACGAAACTGAAAGTAAAACAGGCTCTGCTGCAATGTGACAAAATGAGGCAGGGAGAGAGATTTCTTTTTCTTTTTGCTCACCAAAAAAGGTAGGTGCAAACAATGGGAAATTTAGAGCAAAAGAGGAGAGTTCAAAATTTTAAAACACAAAAGAAAAAAAGGTCTATTTAACTAGGGAATTATAATAATTGAGATGCTATTAATTGTATATTGTGTTGAAAGCAGAAATGGTTAAGTTATGGTTTGGAGGAATATATGGGGAAAATTATTTGGTTTATTATTATTGGTAAATATAATTAATTGATTTGTAAGAAATTGGATTGCATGGAAATAATTGGAATATTCATTTTCATATTGATTAATATACAAAAAAGATAGTTATAACTGATTTATATAAAAATGTTGAATTTGTATTAAACAATTGTAATATTAAATAATTAATCAATGTGAGGATGGATATAAAAATAGATGACAATGGGAAGGGGTATAATATAGAATAGAAGGGAAAATTGAATTTGATTAAGATTAGAGATGAGAATGAAGGGTAATATTGGTTTTTTAAAAAAATAGATGAGGAATAAATGTGGCAAAAAGGAAATATAGAAATTGTAAATTTAATTGAAATGACTAAACACTGTTTAAATTTGTGAACCAGCCAAATACGCTTTTCAGAGAAAATACATTGTATGTTTGTATGTGTGCTTGTCTAAAAAATAAAAAAAACTTTTTAAAACAAAAACAACCAAAAAAGGTAGGTGAGTCTTATACTCCGGTGCGTCTTATACTCCGAAAAATAAGGTAGTTATTTGCCAAAGGCAAGAGTATGGGCTCTCACTCAGACTTGGAAACAACTGACTAAGATAAAACTATTATGCCTCAGAGGATAAACTGAAGGCTGATGACCCCAAGTGACTCCCATCCATGCAGAAGGCAAGCAATTTAGCATCATGGCTTCCTTACCTCATTTAGTGTTGCAACATCATTTGTTGCTTGAAAGGTTTGGCTGATTGCATTGACTTCCTTTTCAAACAGCAGACAGACTTCGGTGAATCCAGAGCTCACTGGCCCCATGAGTTCCTCTAGTACAGAAGCTAAAAAGGGCTGAATACTTTCACTGCAACAGATCTGGATAGGTTCAGTTATGCTCCCTGAAGATTTAAGATAAATCTGAGATGAACTCTAAGAAGGAAGAAGACTTTAAACAAAAAATGCCATCTTATATAATTTATTACACGTAGTCCACCTTTACTGTCTTGTGCATTCAGCAAACATTTGGATTTACAACAGCACTGAAAAAGTAGATTTAGAACCAGTCTTCAAACTTTTAGCATCTCTGTTAAACACCTATCACCAGTTGGATTGCAGGACTGGGACTACTTATGTATGCTTGTAGACATCATATTGTAGAAATGCAAAATTTATGAGTTGATGCATTTTACATACTAGCATACCACTTAAATGAAAAACATAACAATGGGACTATTTCACTGTTGGAGAATACAAGTATAGTATAAAACTACCAGCTTAAATATGTTTAATGCAATGATGCCTCCCTACTATGCAATTACATTTCAGAATTAAGAAAATATAATATATTTTCTCTATAAAGCTGAATGCAGCTGGTCATTTCAACAGGCTCCTGATACAGAATAATTTGCACCAGATGAGCCCAGTTTGAATGTCATATTAGAATGCAGTATTGGAAAAACTGATAGTATCAGAATCTAACCAGTTCTATCATTGTGCAAGCTTTTTTTACTTGAATTAGAAATAATTAATTTTTGATTAATTGATTGATTGATTGTGTGTGAATGTTTTCAACTCCCAGTGACCACACAGAGAGTTTTTCTCCATGGTGATAACCTGCTCTTTCAGGTTTCCCAACAGTGTGCTCTTTGCCACTGTGTCCATCCACATAGCTAATATTCTTCTCTTTCCTTCTACCTTTCCCAGGATTAGAGACTTTTCCAGAACCTGGATCTTTGCATAATGTGTCCGAAATATAATAATTAAAGTCTGGTTATTTGTACTCAAATGACAACTTTGAGTCGATTTGTTCAGAGGTCCTTTGGTTTGTTTTCTTGGTTGTCCACAGTATTCTCAGAAGTCTTTTCCAATACAAAAGTTCAAAAGCATGTATACTCTTCCATCCTTCTTCTTTAAAGTCCGACTTTCATTTCTATAGAGGACAGGTCCCCAACCCCCGGTCCATGGACTGGCACCGGTCTGCGGCATGCCAGCAACCGGGCCGTGCAAACAAGCAAAGCCCCATCCATGGGATGCAGGCAGCACACAAAACCATGTCCCTCCAGTCCGCAGAAAAACCTATCTCCATGGAATCAGTCCCTGATGCCCAAAAGGTTGGGGGTGCTGTCATAGAGTATCACAGGGAGTATCACAGATTCTGATCTTTATAGTATAGACCAGTTTTTCTCAACCTTGGCAGCTCACAGATGTGTGGATTCCAACTCATAGAATTCCCCAAGTAGCCTGGGGGTTGGAATCCACCCAAATGAAAGCTACCAAGGTTGAAAACACTGGTATAGTGTTTGACATCCCAGTATTTGACATTTTTCCAAGGCCTTCATGACTGCTCCACAAAGTGTTAGTCTGCGGTATATTTCTTGACCATATTGTCAAGAAATACTGGTATCATTAAAACAGCTACAAATGTTGGGTTTCAGTCATCGTAGAGATACTCCATAGCAGGTAACTAAAACCTTTTTAATGATATTACAATATGATAATTAATTATTTGTAATTCAAACTAATAAAGTTTGCTCAGTAATGGAATTGATTTGCAAATTCTGCTACTATGAAATTTTCCAATATTCTGACAAGACATGCAACCAGGGTAGATTTGATTTAAATCAACTCGATTTAAATCACGACTTAAATCATAATTTAAATCAACTTGATTTAAATCATATTTTTAAAGAGCAACTGTCATCTCTGTCCCGCAGCAGCTCCTCCTCTAACCTGCTGTTGACTCACCAACAGTCCCAATTCAGTCCCTGAATATATAGCCTCATGCTACATAACTAAGCTCCATTTCATGCTGAATAAACTAAATTATTATGTATCTTAAATAGAAAACTATCTTTAGATATTTTTACTCAAAAAGCATTTTATTAAAATAAATTTGATAAAAATAAAAAAATTCAATTTAAATAAAAAACATCTGATTTTTTATTTTTTTTAAAAAACCATTGATTTTCATGCAACCCGATTTATACTTTTTTAAGAAAAAAAGCCCTAATTGTTCAATGAGGCTAGTCTTGATAAATGTGCACAGAACTGCAGGCCAAAACTGGAAGTGCTATTGATCATCTTCATTTGTACTATACTGTTTATAGTTTTGTTTTGTTTTTTGCTTTTTAACAAAATAGAATTAGATCATCTACAACAGTGATGGCTAACCTTTTTGCCATCACGTGCCAGGAGCGCAGGGGGGAGGAAGGGGGGGTCACGCAACATGTGCCCACACCCATAATTCTATGCGCCCCGCCCCCACACATGTGCGAGCAACCCCCTGCTCTCCCCCTGCTCCAGGCACGTGATGGCATATGCCTTTCCTTTCCAGAGCCTTCTTAGGAGCTTGGGGAGGGCAAAAACGGCCTTCCCCACCCCCCCTGGAGGCCCTCCGGAGGCCAGAAATGGCCCGTTTGCCAACTTCCGGTAGGACCGGAAGGCCCGAAAATCACCTGGCGCTGAGCTAGCATGCCCACCATTATGCCACCTGTGGCACACATACCATAGGTTTGCCATCACGGATCTACAATATTAATCATGCATTTGTTGCGTCCACTTAAACAGGGATTTCCAATTCTTTCCATCTCAAAAGAAACATGCAATGTGAACATATTATGAAATAAGCTTAGGCCCATGCCATATAAATGTAGATATCCTCAAAAGGGGCAAAAATAAAAAAGTCTGAATTAATTTTCTCTTAGCCATATGCAAATTAGTATTGTCAACTGATACTGTGATTAATAGATGTAAAAAGGAAAAATACAAAATGCTGATTGTGTGACATTCAATTTACCATTTATTTTCGCAGCCAGAAAGTCTTTCGAATTCACAATCTGGTCTATATTTGAACGAATAGTTCCCTCTAGTCCTAGAGTGACCTCTTTGCATTCTTCTTTCAGAGCACGTAAACCTTCTGATACCTGATCAAGTACCAAATAGTATGTTTCTTCTAGAATCTATAACAAAAAGAATGAATGAAATTATTTACCAGCTATACAAACCAGCTCCAAACCAGCTTCATGAATTAACAATGAAGTTAATGAATGTCTTGTAATTAATGTATTATATATATAAATATGTAAAGTAGAGAGTCACATATTTTGTTAATACAGGTAGTCTTCGACTTTTGACCATAATTGAGCCCATTTCTGTTGCTAAGCGAGACATTTGTTAAGTGAATTTTGCCCCATTTTACAACCTTTTTTTCCCCACAGTTGTTAATTGAATCATGGCAGTGATTCAGTTAGTAACATGGTTGTTCAGTGAATCTGGCTTCCCCATTGACTTTGCTTGACAGAAGATTGCAAAAGGTGATCACATGACCCCGGGGCTCTGCCTAGCATCTGAATTTTGATCATGTGACCATGGGGATGCTGCAACGATCGTAAGTCTTAACACTCATAAGTCACTTTTTCAGTGCTGTTACAACTTCGAATGGTGACTAAATGAACTGTTGTAAATTGAGGACTACCTATAATCTTTGTCTCTCAGTGGCTATTTCCAGCTGCAACACCTCTTGATAGATACTAGGTTCCAGATTAAAGAAAGAACAAATGGTTTGGAAATATTTAGTGAAAAGAAGTCTGAGTTTTGCCATTTGCTAGCAAGGAACATCTTAGAGGAGTGATGGTTTTAATGTTTTCAGCTAATTATATTTATAAATAAACTGCTTAAATTGAAACATACTATTTTTTAAAAAAAGAAGGTAACATCAATCTTTGAAATATTCTACTTTTCAAAAATTTGAAAACAGTCTCCTTTTTTTTCAGCTCAAGACCTATTAACTTCATATACACATCCACATTGAAAAGAAGTGGTTGTTATCAACTTATGGAGTTTTTTTTTTTTTTTTTAAAGAACTTCCTGATCAGGAAATATAATATAGTACTTACACCAAACCATGCCCGCTTTCTGTCATTTCTTTTTCCTTTCATTTTAGGGAGCACCATGCTCTGAAGGCTAGATAGAAGCTCCTCCATCACAAGGTTGCTAAGAATCTGGAAAGAGATAAAATTTAATAATCTTTTCTTTAGCCTCAAAAGCACAGAAATTGGTTTGACCTGAGAATGGTTGAGATGAACATCCTTTTCATAAAAATATTTCCATAAAGAATGGATTTCTGTCAAAAAGAATGGAAGACTTTTCATAAAAGTTTTCTATTCCCACACTTCCTGATGTGTAATTACCTGATTTTCATTTCCTATAATCATTTCCGACAGTCCATAATGACCTTTCTCCTGACGGAAAAACTGGACAGCTTCTAAAAATGCTTGACTTTCAAAGGAAGGCTGTTTGAAAGGATCTGAAAGACACAAGAAACAACCAATTTGGATAAATAAATGTGATGTTGGTTTTCTTTTTCATAGTGTTTTAATGAAAATAAAAACCTTGAATGCTTCTTTAGCTAATCATTCTGGATAGCCGTAGCAAAAGCACTTAGATTTATATACCACTTTACAGTGTTTTACAGTCCTGTTTAAGCTGTTTACAGAGTCAGCATATTGCCCCCCAGCAATCTGGGTCCTCATTTTACCGACCTCGGAAGAATGGAAGGCTGAATCAACCTTGAGCCGGTCATGTTCGAACTCCAAACTGTGGGCAGAGTCAGCCTGCAATACTGCATTCTAACCACTGCGCCACCAGGGCTGCTATCTGGAGTGGAGTTTTTTGCAGTTACTTGTTTTTTCAGTTGCTAGATGAGAAATAATTTTGATAGGCAAAGTCTATTATGAAACCAACCAGACAAGTAATGTACCAGCTCAGCCTTGGCATCTTGCACCCATGTTTAACTTGTCATTTGTGTGTGAGAGCATTCCTCTAGCATCTTCTCTAAGACGTTTTTTTGTTCTAGGAAAGCTTTAGGAGCAAAAGCCTCACAGCATGCCAGATCAAAAGGATCCTGATATTAATATATCATTTAATTGACTTTCATTAGATTTGAAATTTATTATTTTAATTGTACAACCACACAGATAAAAAAAAACTTTCTGACTACCTGGACCAGAAATCAACATAGATATCTTTAATTTGACCACTATATAGCTGTTAACCTCCAAAAACTCCTCACCAAAGTAATGGAATAATTCTAATAATATAAGAAGAAGAATGCATTCTAGACAGCATGTACATTTCAATGTAAGCAAGTGTAAGTTGATACAAGTTGGCACAGAAATCCAAAATTTCATTTATTTATAAGATCTAGTTATGGCAGTGAGTGACTAGGAGCTTTTCCACATTGTTTGAATCCTACACATAAACTGGTTGCAAATGAAGTCGATGGAACAAACCCTTTCTGAATTTCAACTCCTTCCTCTATTTTGGTGATATTCTCGTGAAGGCTTGCTACTGTACAGTTTGTGCTTCAACCAGGAAGGTTCTAATTCTTTCTGAAACTAGAACGTGAAACTTGAGAGAACTCTGGTCAATTTCATCCAGTGTCTTTTTTTAAAAGAAACCATCCTTTCTCTGCTGACCTCTTTAAAAAAATAATAAACGTGATTTCACTGATCTGCTATTAAACCTATAAAAAGAAAGGGGAGGGGGATTCTGCCTTTCGGAGCAAGTAGTCCAGCAAAATGGCCACCAAATGCAGAGAATGGGTTCTGGAAAGCATGCCTGCCAGAGTACACATTAGCCAATTTGAAAGGAGGCCTTTGTTGAGGATGGAATGAGGTTGAGCAGGTGGACTGGATTGTCCCACTTGAATTGTAGAGGAGGATCCTTTTGTTGCAAAACCAGAAAATTCAGGTGACTATCACCATCCCGGAAGAATAGGGACAGGTAAAAGATGACATCATCCATCACTTTGCTCTCCAAATAGTAATGAAGCTCAAGCTCATGCTGAGGGAAGCAGGAAGTACAGATCAGCCTCTAGAAAAAGATCTTAGGGTCAAAGTGGACAACTCAATTATTTCATGCTTGGAAGCCTTAAGAAAAGGAGTGAAAATATAATTGTTAATACTGCACAAATCTATGATAAGAACACATTTCAGAGTGTTGTGTAGCTGCGCTTAAACATATTCTGTAAAATATATCTGCACGTTTACATGAAAGGGCAATCAAAATGATTAAGGAGTTTCAGCTCCCTACAGAGAAAGATTATTTCACTTAGCACGAAGGAAGATAAGGGAAGATCTGATAAAAGCATATAAAAACATGAAATAGAAAGAAAATGTGACTAAAGAACATTGATTATTCTCTGACAGTGCTAGGACTTCAGTTCATGCCTTGAAACTTATGCAGAAAGAACTACTTTTCTTACTAGCAGAAGGAACCACTTTTTCCTAAAGTGCACAGTTGAACTGTAGAATTTGATAGCGACGGTTCTGATAATAGAAATTTGGATAATTTTTAAAAGGGTCTAGACACATTTGTGAAGAATGAGGCTACAGTAGCTACTAATTCTGATATTGGTTATTCATTGCCTCTTCTATCAGAGGTAGTGTGCCATGAATACTATAAAAAGAAAGTAGGAGAAGACTATCATATCCATTGTTAAATCCTGCGAGGCAGACACACTCATGAAAAAGAATCACATGGATTTCTGAAAAGGGTAAAATACAGAAGTTTGACAGCCGGCTTTAGAAATTCTTAGATTAATGTACATATAGCATAAATAATCCCAAATTTCTTTGTCACATTTCTTTTCTTCCTGAGTTGAGATGTCTTTTTTGCAATGATGCAGTTTCCATCTCCAATTAGCTATGGGAAAGAACAGGGATGTCCCACATGGCTCCCACTATATTGCCAGTAGAACTGTTAAGCAAATATGAGATTTAAGTCTTATTTCTGGGCTCTGCATTTCCACAAACATATAGCAAACACTTGGTGTTTGATGCTGAAGAGGAGAATGGAATGGAATTGATACACACACATACACACATATGTACATATATACATATAGATGTCCTTGTCTTATAACCACAATTGACCCCAAAATTTCTGTTGTTAAGTAAGAGTGTTGTGAGTTTTATCCCATTTTATGACTTTTCTTCCCACAGTTGTTAAATGAATCATTGCAGTTGATGTTAGTAACTTAGTTGTTAAATGAATCTGGCTTCCCCATTGACTATGCTTGTCAGAAGGTCGCAAAAGGTAGGTGTTCATATGACCCAGGACACTGCAACTGTCATAAATACAAGTCAGTTGCCAAGCATCCGAATTTAGATCATGTGATCATGCAGATGCTGCAAAGGTTGAAACTACAGAAAATGGTCATAGGTCACGTAAGTTTACTAAGTGAACTGTTGTAATTCAAGGACTACCTGTATTAGGTTCGGGAGGGGCGGGGATGGCTGGAAGCTTCCACCAAAAGCAGAAAAGAAGTCAGATGAAGACCCAGAAGATTTAATCATTGCAGTGGTAGGACTAACATATTTTCAAATTGAATTGTGATGCTCATTCCTAACAAGGACCATTTGTGGAATGCTGGTATCTGAATGCAAAAAAGATACAACATGCTCATCCCTTCTGCCTTAGTCACTGTCATTGTAATGGGTCTTGTCGCGCATCCACATGCTTTCAGAGATAGGAGTAGCACCCTTTCTGAATCCTAAAATGGCAGGGGGCCCGGGATAAAGAAAAGTAGCTTAGTTAGAGAATATCATTGTTCACTCTCTGGGTATTATGGCAGATTCTAAACACTAGCAGAGCCAAAGATTCTTTTTACTTCCTAAAGGTTCCAAAGGAAACTGATTTGAAATGTTATGAGGCTCATAGTCTCAAAGGCCAAAAATATCAATTTTGTCAAGGCCAATAGAATCATCAATGACTAGATTCACTTGTAACTTTGGGTAATCAGAATGAATAAAGGTATTCAAAATGCCTATTATAATATCACTAAAATGAAGGAGTTTTTGTTTTAGTTTTTCTGTAAAAATAGACTAGCAAGCATTTGGCAATATAGTATTTTTGGAATAGCCCTTACCAATTGGGAATTCATTCTGTCACCACTGAATTTAATCCAAACAATCTTCCATAACATTATTCTCTACCTCTTCTAAAAATTGGAATAAGATCCTAAAACTAATCTTTGGAATAACAAAACATGATTATTTATTGTTTTCATTAGCTGATTCTAATAACCAGGGAACGACTAAAATTTATTAGCTTTGCCTGCTATATAGCACAACATAATGACATCATCATTCCACAGGGATGAGACAATTATACTTTTTCTTTTTTTGGGAACAAACTATTAGCTTGATACAGTACAATGCTAGCAAACATGAGACTATTTTGTGGATTGTGGCATTTGAACCAGAACTAAGCATATTATCTGCAGATTAATGAAAAAATTAGCTACTGAAGAATAAAAAAGGATCCTGGTATCAGAGTTTGTTTCAATTTATGGCTTGAGAGATACCATGATCCTAAACTCCTATACCATGACCCTAAAGTTTGCTCATGATTTAGTGTGACTCTTTTAACATGTTATAATTAAGTGATAATTCTGCTGCATATTTGAAAGTCTCTATTGTAAAAGTAAGAACTTTTAGACAGCTTAAAGGTTCCCAAGGGGATTTTCCTAGGATGTCTCATCAAGCAAGGTAATCAACTGATACGGTACATTAATGAGATTTCTCTCAGAGACACTGAACGTCTTCTATTTGTTTTTGGTAGTAGAACAGTATTTTTTCTGTACAAAATCCATATGGATAAGCGAGGGATCTTTATTTATAATGAAAGTGAAGTATTCATGATCTTTTCTTTGCACTAATACAGAAGGGGTTTGCCTCTATTTCTATAATTATTGTTGCCCTACTTTCCAGTCTAGTCTACAATCCTAGCATTTTTTGGTGAAATTTCAAGTACTAAGCAGACCCTGCTTAAGATATTTTTAGTATCAGCCAAAGTTGTCTAGAGGCTGCCACTGCTGTAACAAGGATAAAGATTCCCTTGAATCAAGCTTAACGTTGGTAACTACATTTACGAACTTTTCTTGCCAGCTTTGTGGAAGTAATCCCCCTGGATTGTTCAAGACATTTTTGACTTTCCAGTCTAGCCCACAAGCTCTGGAATTCCTGGATTCCTGCATTCAAACATGCATAAATATATCCCAGGTATCCAAAATAAATCTAATTCTCTCACAGATATGTGAGAAGCGATTATTGTAATATATAAGATGTTGATCGTTATGAACGCTTTTGTGTTGCAAAATCTTTCTTGGAGACCATTTTCACAATGTAAATAGACAAATGAGCAGGAGAATCATGTGGTCTTATCTTCAGCATGAATCCAAGCACACAAGAAATAATAGATATATAATGCAAACTTAAGAAATTTTTCATTTGGTTTCATTCC